GATCACCTGTTGTCATAATGGAATTGCAAGTGAAACTTTTAAACATTTGTTCTATTATTTGGATGACTTGGGTTAATAAAATGTACTGCTGATGAATATTGGCAACAGAGGAGTGTACAGGCAAAGAGAGGAGGAGAGGCAGGGTGGGCAGACACTGCTGTGTGCGTCTGAACGCTTGTCGAGAAGAGAACTGAAGGACGGCAAACTGAGCAGATAAAAGTCGTGTGTGAACAAACATTGAGAGATGTTAGGGAATACACATACAGAACATGATATATAAGCTAACATAATTAAAATAGAGTCATGTGTAGCTTGAAATATTTTTTCTGTAAAAGGGACAACATAAAGAGTCGTATATAGGGCGAAGGCCGCGATTTTAAACGTAAATAATAACATCAATGACGTTTCTTTGATTGTGACAGGACAAAAAATAAATAAAAATTCAAAAGCTGTGAAAGCCTACTTCAGTACTTTGGCCGGTATATTGAATAAAGCACTGGTAATAACTTAAGTAATGGCTCTTTATGGTGGCGTTGAATTATCAGTCACAGACAGCTTTACACACCATGACAGTATAGTTTCCATTTCACCACTGACACACAGGTTAGTATTTTAAGTTTCACTTTTGTTTTTAAAAGAAATAGAAACAAATACGATGTTATGCAAAACACCACTAAAACAGTAAGTCTATGTGATGTATGAATACAGAATTCGGATAGGGCAAATGTCCCGTATTAAAAAGCAGAACTGTAATATAACCAGAGGTGTGCTTTCTAGCTGTCAGTCAAGTGTCCGGGACAACAACATAGGATGCAAAGGTTACAAAGTGTCATGTTTAAAAGCAGTCGATAAAAAGGAACCCAGGAACAATGCCACTTACTGGATGAACTGCAGGCCTTTCTGAATCTCCTGCCAGCGACTCCGTCTGTCCTGACACGCTCCAGACATGTTTGCGTGTTTAATTGTCCACTCCTTGGTCAGAACCTGAAATCATGACATACAGTGTTACAATGACATGCAAACTGAAGAGAGAGAGAGAGAGAGAGAGAGAGAGAGAAGACACATCAAATACACTCCTTGCTTATCATAAATCATCATCCAAAAGTTGTCAAACTGGTTGACTGAGAGATGACGCGCTAGGTGTTGCCAGGTTTATATTACAGAAAGTATTCAAATCCTTTTCTTTTCCTTGCCTCCTTTGTATACTGTCTGCTTCCGCGTGGAGTAATGACGACACACAGGTAGTTCCGGAAATAAAGACTCAACGTTTGTGCGAGCTTTGTCCGCTGCTAAGGTTACCTTTGACAATTGTTGAACCTCTACTGTGAGCAACAATTTAAATTCTAAATATGAGAAGCTGTAGAGGAGAAGGGTTTAACGAAAAGAGGCCCGGGCAAACTGTTTTCGCGTATCCTCTACAGCAAGGTGTCCATTATCGGACATCATTTCCACAGCACTGTTATGAAACCTTTAAAATGTCCATGTCGTTAGAAATTCAAGTTCTACATTAGGCGTGAACAAAACAACAAATTGCTCATCTGTCCAAACACACTTTCTGTAGGAGTATACCTATTGTTGCTAGTCTTTTTTTATAATCATAGTTTATCAGAAAGGGGTTGCTCATAATATCGCGTAGGTAAGACTTTTCTCCCATCGTCATAGCTTAAAGTTCAAAAGCAAAAAAACAATGGTTTTGACTGTTTCACGTGTTTAAAACTGTCTCCTAACATGATGGGCCGGGTTGCATCATCCAAAAAAGATATTACAGAAATGAGTCAGGAAGATGAGAACAGTGTTAGCTTCAGTCGGGTCCGACTCAGCCAAAAGCACAAATTAACTTCACATTATAAACAAACTGGCGCGTACAAAAGCTTTATTTGCCCCCCCAAAAAAATGTGTATTTAACGATGACAGCCTGTCTACTGAGGAAGACGCCGTATCAATAAAGTTTTTGTGTTGTTTAGTTAATAAACGCGTCTTCACAGCGACGTGTCCGACAATGGACACAAGACATTTAGCGCACGTGTGCGTTACCCGCGGCGCGAGTCAAGACTTCTCGTTAGCGATCATCATCTGCTAGCAAAGGTTAGCAATGTGTATCTGGACACACTTTAACCACTACTAACACGAGTTATATGAAATGGTTAGACTCAACAGTTTCTTCCGGTGCTGGAGTCACACCAACATAACACCTCTGCGTGACGTTACCCAACTAAGTTTCTAGGAAGTAGACTGAACCTAACAAAGCATAGGTATGTCCAAGTTGAACTAGTTCCCCCAACGCAAACAATAGAGAGCAAATAGATGTTCAGCTTTTATTCCGAGACGCAGTGGACATCCTGCAATCGTGAAACAGCGGCTGTTGTTTGTACTTACATGAATGGATCTGTATTCCAAACAAACCTTAAGTCGGTCACCGAAAAGAGAGGGAAACTGATTTTTTTCGTTGTAGCTAAAATAACTTGACAAGATGTGCTGTATCCGCTGAAGGCCGCCCTTTACTTCTTCTTCTAACTGTACATGTGGTAGAGCAAACGTCGGCTCCAGAGCAGTGCTGCGCCCCTGTGGTAACATCTAATATGTCAGTAAGAAATCTGAGATCAATGAACCAGCATTTTTCCTGATAGTAAAAATTAAAAATCAGTTATAGTAATCAATAGAGATTATTAGTATATGTTCCTTGTGTATTATTATACAATAGGTATACACATTCAAACATATTGCACACATTTAAGTTGTATTATTGTTTAATTTTGCTTTAAATAGGGGAATGAGAATGACAACTGTATGTGTGAACGAAATGCAAAAAAAAAAAAAAAAAGTCATCATTTTCGTTTTGCTATTGAAAAACAAATCTATTTTTTTTTTCTTCTTCAGCAAATCTTATCTCGGTGACTTCCTTGTTCTTTCTTCTTTAACATTTTAATCACGTTACATTACAAATTCAAAAATGCACAACACAGCTCAATACTTTTCTCCTTATATCTTAACACATCCAGCCTCTGAGATCCTGTGCTCCTATACATTTGAGCTGTGGCTCACAAAGCGGAGGTAAAGGACGTCATATGTGAGCATCAGATCACCCTGGTTCGAATCAAAGACATGTTAAATTATCTCCGTCTTTCTAATTGTATTATTTGATGGCTTATTAAGCTTTAGGAGTTATACTGTCTTGACTACAGCACATGATATAAATGTTTTGATGGTATCATGGGGGAAATTCATACAGTCACTAACATTGAATCTCACACACCTTTTTAGATATTGTGGAGGGCATAAAAACTTGTTCTCATCATTATTTCTCTACTAACAGGTGTTACACTATAGACCTGTGTGAAAAGGCAGACAGGTATCCTAGTAGGCTACTTCTCGTAATTTTTGGGACTTATTTGCATTCTTTATGTTTTGTAAATTTTCATTTAGGAATAATTTATCCAGACTCTCTGCTGGAAAACAGTTTAATCATGAAAAAAAAATTGCAGTAATTCTGGGGTACTAATACACACAAAAAACCCTTTAAGTAAATTATTAGTAAAAGGTAAAATATATTATTCTACAATGACAAAAAAAGGCGAGAATTTGGATGGCTTTCATTTTAACAGCACTGAAACTTTTCTTTTAATGTCTGTTTGCAAAATGTTGCTCCTGAAGTACTCTCAGTTTGTCCTATGGCTTCACGTTGACGCTGAATGTTTCAGTTAGGTGAATTCAGCTTGATATGATCTGAATGCTGCCTGTATATTTTGTGAGGATGAACCCGGATGAACAGGTAGAGCAGGAAGTAATCAGATACACAGACATTGAGGGCCGCCTTTCCTCTTACAGAGTGGCAGCTCTCATTACTGCCAGGAGGAGGCGCTTATCTCTCTCTGTGCAGGAGCATCACTGAGGAGCTAAATCACACACACAAAAAAAACAGAATATGTCCCCTGTTATCTGGACCCACAGCGAGTGTCTTTTATGATGAAGAGGCCCTGACATTACTACATTATGAATGACAATGGAGTCCAGCGACACAGAGCTAAAAAAATAAAAATAAAAACACATCCAGGAAACAGAACACAAAGATGAAATGCAGTGATATGGCACTATGCATGCCATTTTCCAATTTGGGCGACAATTTGTCATATAAACAATCTCTACTGAGTCGGATGTAGCTCATGTCAGTAAATCACTGTGACAATAATGATAGCTACAGAAAGTACAACGTGTAGAATAGAGGGAGGGTCTGTTCTGTTCCCCCCACTGACATGTTTATTCACAAAGGGAAGGAGGCGAAAGAAGCGGAAAAGAAGATTGAGTCTGGGAAAAGTATATCATTAGTGTGTAATTACCATCATCTACAAGTCTGGGTGCATTTTTTTGTGAGGAGGCGGAACCATAATGTGTTTCATAACCAATAAAAAAAAGTGCTTTGTTCGCACCAACTATAGCTCTGAAGCTTATTGAAATCTACTGAAACTTGTTTACTCATATATTATTTTTATATCTATCCCCAAACAAATACTGTAAGAAGGTAAAAATATGAAGTTGGGTTGTGAACTGTGGGGGGGGGGGGTCCTGGTACAGACCATGTACAGAATCAGGACTGGTTGCTTGAGAGGGGTAAGTTTTCTCTCTTCACTCTTGTCATTATAAAGTAAAACGTCAAGGTTAGAAACATTTATTTTTTCATTATGTTTGTGATGCAGGATTGGTGCTACACCCTTGAATCTCCCTGTCTGACGACTTCAAATGTAAAGGCAACATTTTCATAGAAATTGTGATTTTTTTTATTTTATTTGAATGAAATATGTCTTCAAAATGTGGGGTTTATTTTCCTTATCAACTATTTCATTGTATCAAAGCTCCAACACTTGTTGTATCTCTTGAGTTCTTTAGAGCAGAGGCAGAACTACAGGTATTAGTAGTAAACACCACCTGTCTTTGTCCTCCAGGGGGCGTACACTTTTACAAACACTGACTTAACCTCTGGCCAATGGTGATGCTCAGGAGATGACTTGAGCAGCCTCTAAAAAAAGCTCTGCACTCACAACGACACGCTCAGAGTGAAAGTGTGCAACGCTGTGTGGAGCTCAGCTGCCTGCTTTGAGCCATGGCAGTGCTTCACTGGATACTTCTGCTCTTATCAGGTGAGTTTGATTGTTTACTTTTGTAGCAGAGGTTATGCTGAGGAATTGAAAAAAAGTAGCTGTGAGGACACAGAGGGAGTCAGGCCAGGTAACTGATGTAACTGCTTGTGTTTACTTGTGCAAAGTGGAGGTGTTATTTGAAGGGAGAAAGTGCAAACAGACTGAGTTGATTTCACTCGGGCAAGTTTGGCTTTATCATCGTGTTTAATGAAGACGTACAACAAACACTGAACTGCACTTAATGTTTAAACTCTTTTAAGAGGGGTGTGGACGATAAACAAATAGGTGTTGCTGTTCTTTTCACACCCATCATAGTTGCCAATGAAGTGTACAACAACAGACACTCATCTCCTCTTACAGATCCAACAAAAAAAAAACCTGACTTTTAACAATTAAGTTGGACAGATTCCCTGCCTGACCAGTTTTGGATTACATTTCATTATAGGAGTGTGCAAATGACTGTACAACAGGGGAAATAAAAAAGAACAGCCTTCATCTAACAGCGTATATGATGCAAAGTGGACGTTTAGATGTGGATGTATACTGTCTGAAACCTGCAGGATATAACTGTATATAAAAAACACTTATCATGGGTTTCAAATGAACTGCGACTTGATCATTTGTTTCCCTCCTCTTCTATTGTTCATGTGTCTCTGCAGTGGCTTCAGTGGCCTCTGTGGCAACACGCAAGTCCCAGCGGACAAGAAGAGGTTTACAGGAGCTGGCTGGAGTCATCAAGTGCAGCACGGGGAAAAATGCTTTGAATTACATATTGTACGGATGCTACTGTGGCCTGGGAGGTGGAGGCTGGCCCAGAGACAAAGCAGACTGGTGAGGCCCACAGAAAATACAAATCCAAAAAAAAAAAAATGAAAAAAATCTAGGCTGCTTCTCTTGAAGACAATCTTTGCCCGGACAATTTATGATAGCACGTTCCAGAAAGTAAACACTTAACTTAACACTCTATATATCTCCCACCTATATATTTAAGTCATGGGAGGGATATCATTCATTACGCAATGGTGATGATTAGAACCTACTTGCACATGATTCCAACCCTCCTTGGCTTCCTCTCAGTCAGTCTCCATCCAGCAAGAGTACACACTGTTTCCGTTTAGCCTCAACCACAAAGTGTGCGATGGGATGGAAGGAGGGAATCATGTCCAAATTTAACACATTTACACAGCCCAATGGGTACTCTAAAATAGGCCCAAACAAATTCCACACCCAAGTCTTAATTGACGTCTCCTGAGACCGGTACACTGCTAACTATCAGTTGTTGGAAGTCATGCGGTGATCCTGCTCTGCCTTTTAAAATAGCCTTGGTGAGGTTCAGACCATACTGACTGTTCATCCACTGCTTTCCTGAACCAGTGTTGTCCAGCTCAGCCTTCATATTAAAATGATTCTAAATCTTATGTCTGCAGGTGTTGCTTCAGACACGATTGCTGTTATGGAAAAGCAGAAGAAATGGGTTGCCATACCAAAACAGATCAGTATCACTGGGAGTGTGACGACGAATCAGCTGAGTGTGGTATGCTTTTTTTTTTTTTTTTTTTAAATGTGCTCTATGCATCAAATTAAAGTCTTCTATATTTTGAAAGGATGCATGAAATGTTTTCTATATGTAGTGCATATAAAATACAACTCTTCCAGAAAACTGGAAGTGAGGCAGTATGTGATCTACAAATATCCTAAGAACAGTTTCTGATTGGAGGACAGGATTTTTATAGTGTATTTTATGGTTTTTAAGCCCCCATAAACAGGGTTTTTTTTTCCTGCTCATAAATAGCACCAGCTCTTCTGAAGTTTAAACTTCCATGTACTAAAAACCGAGAGGGTTGTTATTCTTTTTTTCCACAGTTACTTTCAGGTCCTTGTAATTTGTCAGACTTTAAAAGGTTTTTCTGAGAAATGTACCAAATGTACACAGTGGAACATAATAAAGCATTATAATCAGAACAAATGTCACAATCGTAAGGAGAAAAACACTCAAATGTATGCCGATTTATTGAGAAACCCTATATGAGTTTATCACTGACAAAATACGTTTGTGTTGTTTTTCAGATGAACTGGAGGACAAATGCAAAAAGACGCTGTGCAAGTGTGACAGAGAAATTGCCAAATGTTTGAGAAAAGTACCTTACAAACTGAAGTATTCTGTATGGCCAGATTTTCTCTGTGGCTCCGACCAACCGATGTGTAGCATTAACTGATGCAATAAGTGCATCACTCAGGTTTTTGGTGCCTCTTTTTAATATTACATGTTTACAATAACAATGGACCAATGGTAATGCCATTGCTATGCAGTCAAAGACAATCATATATTGTGTCTTAATACTGCTTTGATTATGAATCGTATTCAGTATATAACAAGGTGTTGTAGGAGTAGAACAGTGGTACACATGATGTTTTCAAAGGGATTTTATCTGCTGGATTTTCGCATAATCAAAAGGCCATCTGAGCATTTCTCTAAAACTCATCTATACTCTACCACAGTGGTTCTCAACACGTCTCGGAACCCACCACCAACTCCTCGGTTAAAAATCGTGACCCAAATTTTGGATAATTCTCGACCAATCAGATTTATTTACTGAGAGGTTGTGCGGTTTGGACCTCAGTCGGTACAAAACATGTGACAGAAGCAAGAAACTGAACAAAACAAACATGTTTAAAAAGTGCTTCACAGACAAGTTTTTTTCCCAGGCACACACTCGCGACCCACTTTTAAATGGCTCCGCGACCCACCTCTGGGTCCCCACCCACCAGCTGAGAACCGCAGCTCTACCAGAAGGTTGAGTGTTTTTTCGGTGAAGGAAAAATCAGATAGGGGCTCCTCACAGCAGAACTTTGATTCGTTTAAACACTCAGCAGGGGATTACCTGCCATTAAAAAAACACTGTAGTTGATTTTGGAATGTGTTGTGACTAAACGCTTCATTCATAAGGTTAGAAAAATATTTGGAAATGTATTGAGTAAGTATAGACTGAGGTTACTCTGTTTTTTTCTATTTTTAAGCTGCTGTCACACATCTGCCTTTCACTTTTTTGCTGCCTGATTCAAACCTTTTTTAGGGCTGAAATCTTTTTGTAAAACTCACACATGTACATTTTCCTTTTAATGGTTTTGATTGATTCACACCATGGTGACCGATGACCGTGTTTAAACCAACTTCTCCAAAAGGGCTTAGGAAAACATTGAAGTCATTTAGTATTCCAGTTTGCTCTTCCCTCACAGAACAAAAACAAGACAAACATTTTGCACAGGAACTCCTACAGAATAATGTGATCAGACCAGTTGAACTTCACTTGGTCTGACACTCTAGAGAGTTCTAATTTCCTGCCTGTGCCGTCCTTCCTAACAGTGACTTTAAAGTGCACTCATACATTAATGTCTCAGGCATTTATTGTTGCAGGATCAAACAATTAGAGAGCTGGCTTTCAGTATGATCATTGATGTCTTCAACTTTTAGATTTAAATAAAAAACAGTGTATTTTTGAAGTATGATGTGTTCTGTTATTGACTTCAGATGAGTTGGGTTTTTTTTAGCAGTAAATGACTCTACTATGGTCTACCCTCAGTGTGTTTTGGGTTTCTCTGGGAACCTAACTTAGATCATTTTGGTGTAACTGTCAAGGAAATTCATCCACCCCTACACCCCACCCCTCTACACACACACGCCCAGTAAAAAAGTGTCCCAGTACATAAAGTCCTTCCAGATGCTATCTGACTAACTAGCCCTTCCACTCCCTCTGCGAGCGTTGTTTGCAAGTTTAGAAAAGAAACACATTTTCTTTGTTGAACAAGTGCATGGCTCATGAGGGTAGACTGAAATAGGAGATGATGATCCAAAGTCCAGGACTAGAAATAAGAATCTGGGGTCATGGCCCTCAAACACTTACCCAATTGTGTCCAACCCTCAGCGGGCACACGCTCTTATGTCATAGAAGATATAAGATTCATCCGATACCAACTGTGTGCCTTAAATTCCTGTTTCCTGCTGGTGATTAATACAGAATCACTATCTTTCCTCAGGCATTGGATGATCTTTCACTTGTACGAGCATCTTATAATACGTGTCTGTGTCATTGAGTATATTAAAATGGACAGCGAATCTCTGTCTCCTTCCATTGTACTGCATTGAAGCCAGAATATACTTGAGTGGGCGCTGACGTATTGTGCTGACGACGTTATTTGCTGGCTGGTTGAACCACAGAATTGATGACACGCCCCTTCCTTAGCATTCATTACACACAGCAATTAAGGGCGTTTTCACATTTGGCACAATTGTTTCATGCCCGAGTACACTTGGGTACGTCTACATTTAAATACAGCAGGTGGCAGTATGCACATGGTTGGCTTGCAAATCTACCAAGAAGCAGAAAGATGATGAAGCAACCATGGAAACCACTCGCGGGCTGATACCTTCCTGCTAACTGTGGATATTTTTGTTATTTCTGAGACGCCGACAACGACCCTCTTCCTATGTCCACATCTACCGTGCAGCTCAGAGGACGAAACGGGCCCGTGCTGCGCAGATATGACGGTTTTTGAAGCGACGTCAAAGTAAATTTAAATGTGTTTTTAACTTTATAGTTTGAATCATGTCCCATATGTTAATCTTGAAGAGGAGAGGTTTATGACCTTTTCCGCAGCCAGTCAGCAGTGGGAGTCTTTGACTTTACTCCCAGGCGTCTGTGCTCCGTCCATCTTAATATATAGTATATGATCTGTGTGAGTCCTCGCAGCTCCTTAAGAAATCGTCTACTCACTTGAAGCAGCATCTCCAGGCTTTTTTTTTGTTAGTTAATAACTCTGCCTGAATATTTTAAAAGATGTGCATCATGTGCACCTTCACGAAATGTGTCAATACTCTGTTTCAGTTGGTTGCTTTATATGTAATGTTTTACTAGTGCCCAGCAGCTGACTTACATACTTAACCAATCCCAGCTCCAAAAACTCAGCTGACCTCGTTAATATTTCTGGAGCTGTGTGGTGCTCTTGAAGAATTCCTGTTATTGAAGAAATGCCATATGCATGACAGCGTGGGTGTCACAACAGCACATTCTTTCATCCTGTCTGGCTGATCTGTTTGAACCTGTTCCACACTAATTGTGTTCTTTAATCAACTGTTTGACTCCCCAGTCCAGAGTCAGATGCACAATGAAGTCTTGGCTTTAACTACATAAATCATAAACAATAACAACCATGTGTGTAACGAAATACGACTTCTTACTGGTAAGCGATCTGTTGCGCTCAGGCACATAGTGTGTGGTTGGTCACAAACACACACTGAAAGCTTTCTTTGTATTTGTTTCAATGCTTTACAAGACTAGTGCAACATTAGCTCCCATATCTGTACTGTAACCTACACCACCTTTCAGTGAATGGGCTGCATCCCTTGCAATTACTGTGTAAAATCTCTCTTGGTTTAAAATACAATCTGCACTAACAAGGAAATCAATGCAGGTCAAAGGCAGATCTCAGCCTGCTTCCAATAAACTGCATGACCCTCCTCCTCCTTCTTTTTTTTTTTTCTTTGTGTTTTTATTTTCCAATATTGATATATTTGATTTGCTGAGGAAGTAAAAAAGAAGATGAAAATAAAAAAAATATGTGCTGCTCAATACCAAATGTAAATGAATAACAAGGATGAAATGTGTGGGTTAAGTGTTAGATAATTAGGATTTGTTTGTGCCATGATCAAAATAGATGGTGAAAATATTATTCTTATCAAAATAAATGAGTGAAATGTAATTTTATTAAGTGATGGAAACACTGATTGCTATGATGCAAGGAAATCTGCACACACTCATTTTACAGGATAATTTACCTCCTTATTTTCCTTGGGGTTTATTTTGGCCATTACTCAATGCTTAAGTTGTTTTTATTCATTCAAAATGTCATAAGGTATCCACCAGGGGGCTGAGGTATAGAACCTGAAGACAGGAGACATTCAGTAAATGCCCTGAGGGGTTTGGAGACAGGGGAAATATAGGAAATATAGGTGTCATATATTTTAAGAATAGTAAGTGAGGTGAAGAAGTTCTAACTTTCGCTTGAAGTGACATTTGGCCAATTAGCTCCACTTTCTTTTTTTTTCCTTCTTTTTTTTTGCTCATGACTGCACATTTACTGCATTGTGGTGTTCCCTAATTGGAAGGGCAGCTCTGACACACACAATGGGGATACAGGAACACTGTTTTTTCCCCAAAGCTGGCACTAAACAGCCCCCCAACCTGATCTGCAGAAATGCTGAGAAAAGCAAGTAAAAGTTTGAGCATTAAAATGAAGGCAATACAGAAACTTGTTCTGTTGCCATGTTGAATTTAAATAGCAGCTGTGAAGGGAGAAACTATGAAACTTTTTGGACATATTTCCATGTGAATTTAAAAAAATAAAAAATCTAAGGTTGAGTAATATTTTACGGAAGGTTTACATTTACCCTTATAATGCTTTTCAGATGGCATTCTAGCCAGCTGTAAAAAATCTTTTTAACCATAATGAATGGTAATATCATGTACTAAAACATAATCAGAAGACAATGAATAGACAGTGTAAAACAAGATAATTTGTCTTATTGCTTCATGAATCAGGGGAACACTTACAATAGTAGTTACACTACTATTCTCAAAGAATCATACTGGTTACCATGGAAACAAGCTACTGCAACTGCAGCATGAGCTTACTAAAAGGTGTCAATCACTGGATTTTGTTTGCATTGTTAGGCTATTATGTGGTTTCACAAATACCCTTTGCAACATCATGATTAAGCATCAACAAAAAAAAATTGCCATCTTGATCTTTTAAAAAAACAACAAGGTACTGACTTATCACCTGAAGGCTCAATCACAGTGATGGCAGTTTGAAGGAATTCCCCAGTGACTACTGATGATGTGTCTCACTGCAGCAGCATCATTGTTGTGTCCCTCCTCACATCATGCGACATTTGAATAAGGGCCACTTCAACAGATGGAATGCATGATATGTTTTTGCAGCACGAACAAGATATGAATTATTATTGCTGCATGCAGCGTTACCCAGGAAACTGCAAATCTGCTGGATCAGTGTCAGCTCTGTGTGAATAATTATAGTTCCATTATCACAATGTGAAATGTTGAAAACATCCTTTTGCAGGAGTTTAGAGAAATGTTGTGACAAATACTGGCTATTAGATATGTGATGAAACTGGACAGATGTAGGTGTATGTGGATTTACTTAGACATTATTTTGTTATTATTAAAACAATCTGTTACATTTTGAACTTCACTACAGTAGATACATGCTGGACTAAAAGCTATTTTTAAATACAGCTTGTGCATCAAAGTTGCAGGGTGGAACGGAAACAAATACAAAAGTACTAGGTTTGCAACTACTGTGTCTATAAACGAAGATGGTTTTTCATCACTGACTAATTTAGCTACTTTCAATGTTAACATGGGACATTTACAATTGTGCCATTAAATGTATAAACACAATAAGGCCTACACAAATGAGAAGTTACTGGGACACAAACATGTTGTCTAGACCAAGGACATGGTTTATACAAACTTTACTGATTTGATTTGGACTTCAACACTTCAAAACAAAGATGTCATGTACGCCTTTGTTTTGAAGTACGATTTGAAGACATTTAAGACTTCAGGTATTATTTCTGTGATTATTATCCATAACTATATTCCATAATAGTGAGGTCATTATTTCAAAAGGCACGGACGGGGTTCGAACCCGCGATCTTCGGTTTACGAGACCGACGCCTTACCACTTGGCCACCGCGCCTGCGCTGTTCCCGGCCTTCTCGTGCCTTTTAATGATCGCTTAGTCATTTTGAAGGCGCCATATGCATGAATATTTTTTTCTTTTTGCATAGACTTGTATACAGACTACTGCCTGTGCTCGACAGCCTGCTCCTCCACATACACATTAACAGTATGAGCGGCTTAGACATGTCATGTATTATTGCAATTTGGCCACAAGGGGGTGCTGTCTTCTACCATTTCTGAAAATGGCTATCTTTTGCAGGTTTCACTTTTACAGTCTATGGTTTTGGCAAGCAGATGTCTCCTCCACTCTACTCCCAGTGTTAGCTGCTGAAAGGCACACACCAGGTGAGAGCTCGTTCTTGAATGGTTTTCCCTTTTCCCCGATATTTTAATTGCCTATGAACTGTTCACGTCGCTGTCGTCGTGATTTCAGTATTCTTGGGGTAGGCTAAGCAATTAAGGACCAAGATTTAGGCTACACCAGTTCAAGTAGGCTAACACCAACTGTATCACTGTAGTCAATGGGCTAAGGGATTATAACCAGTGTACAGAAGTGTGTAGGATTTCATGGATGCCAGTTGTGTTTGTTTAGGCTACACAGCCTATACATAATTACTTTGTGCCATTTGGCAATTAAATAAAATGCCAATGTCAGAGATGACAATATGGTCAAGGGTGCCCATGCTGAAGCAGGTTCATCTTCTTGGGAACATGAACTTACATAAGTATCTTAATGTCATATGGCTAAAGTGTCTTTTGTATTTCCTCCTTTGTATTGTATTTCCTCTACAAACGCAAGTAGGCTATTTAGCAACTGAAGTCATTCCATGATAAGTTTTTGAACAAGGAGACACACAAAAAGGTATAAAAAGGTCACAAGGTCAAACTGTCATAAGGTATCTACCAGAGCAGAGGGCTGAATACATAATTAGCCTACAATAATGGGGAGTCGGACCCTTACTACTATTGTGTAAGCCGATCTGCTGTGCCAACCAAAATGTTGGTCTGAATCAGTAGCTATTTAACAGACAGACAGTAATTCCTTTTCCAAGCAATACAATATGTATGAGGCTCGACTCCAGCTTTTCTCTGTCTGTCTTTTTCAAAACATCAAAGATAAATGCTCTCCTGCAGGATGCTTCCCCCTCCCCCCTCTTTTCTATATCAGATATCCTAGAGGCTGTTTAAAAAATGAATAAGACCCATTTCTATTGGGAATTACTTAGCAGGCAAAAATGAGAGATGTGGAGTATTCACCTCGACCTGCTTAAAGCAAGTAACGCACAGACCAAAAGAGTGGCTCCCTTGAATACGCTACATGGATACATTTCATTCAGAGCTTAAAATATTACATCACTGTGCTTTGTTTTTGTACCTCTTTTGTTTGAACCAACAAGATAATCACAACACCTTCAAGGCAGAAATGATCATTTGCAGAACAATCCGATTCTCTGTGGTTCAAGATGTATGCTCTCCTTGCCCTTAAGAAGAAAGTCTTCTGCACTAAAAGTCTTAACACAGATTAATGATAAGCACAGTACTTATCCTACTGCGAATCTGAGCGATAGGGAAGTGGCTTGTATTTTATTTTATGATATGAAGCCTGCTTTCCAGTCATTCACTCCTGCAACATCCTAACTGATATATACAGTTATATGTGTGCAGTTAGAGATCACATGGATCTGGGGCATTGGGCATGGGGTTTTGTTCATGTGGAAGAAAAAAAAAACAAGCAGCTCACTCCCTGAGAGAATAACAAGTATCACTGCACCAATCTATTTAATAATTTATTAGTGTGTTGCTTTGAAAAAAATCATCTTATTTTTTTGCTCTGCTTGTGAAGTAATACTCCTGTGTCCTGATGCTGTGAGAACATTTCTCTGTGTAAGAGACATGATTTTTTTTTTTCTGTACACAGCTCATCCTTTTGTTATGCAAAGAAGAATCCGACTGCAGTACATTTTCTGTTTTAGAATTCTGATAACTAATCATCAAGTGATATAACGCACTCACTGTAGTCTGGCAGGATTTCTTTGAGCTTTGTCATCTTGGGCGGCTTTGATTTCGATCTCAAAGTACTTCAATGCATTCAAGAAGCTTCATTTAGTGTCTGGAAATCAGCACATCAAGATGTTTATGATATAGTAAGGTAAATCTGAGGTCACTTTTTTTTTTTTTATTCTTCTGTGCAAAAGTACCAAAAACGCTTAGTCCAAACAAAAGGAGACATGGCGACAACTCACTGATGGATTTCTTGTGTATACAGCAGTTGGCTTCATACACAATCAGAAATGTTTAGTGCATAATGGTCAGCTGTAATGTAAAGTAGACGTACGCATTAGGGGTGGGAATCACCAGAGGCCCCACGATTTGATATTATCACCATACTTGGGTCATGATACGATGTTATTGCGATTTTAAACATTTCGCGATATGCTGAGAATTGTGATACAATTTCACCCTGTGAGTCATGAAGTGGTGACACATTGAGTCATGTTGCCAGGGATTCATGTGTTTTGCACCTTAATTTTATAACCAGCTGTTTGATAACTGTTTCAAATAAGTAAGGGTGACAATATATTACAATATCTACAGGACATTAGGCATATTCCATGAAAAGTATAAAGAACAACTGGCCACATGTGTATTATGTTTCCAAGTTGGTAACATTCCATCGCCATTCACAACCAAACTTTTCTAAAAGTTCTCTACACCAGGCTGTGAGCTAAACAGACCGTGCTCATGAACATTTCTTCTAGCAAACAACTATAAGACATTTTGCAAGACGGGGTCCATGTCAGAAGCTGCAAGGCATGGCGACGTTTGGGAACCTCTGTCCTATCGGGTACAGTCAAGTTGCATTGCTTGTGCTGTTATGGCCAGAAGACTCATTTTACTTATTTGGATTCATGCTGTCCTTATTTGAACACCGGTCTGCAGATACACAATTTGGCAAGACGAGGCAAGAAATGATTTTCTCTACAAGTATAAAAATAAGAACACTAATAAAAAAAAAACAGTATGAAAAAAAACACGGTAGCAAACAGAACCAGAGTTGATCGCGTTGTACAACTTGAAAGAAGAACGGTTAGCCTAATATTTCAACCGTTGCCCTAAGTTTACTTTTCCACTGTTAGGTAATTATTTCTCCTGTTTACACGAGGTCTGTTAACTTACTATTTCAAGCATTTAGCTGAGCTAACGTTTTCAACTGATGAATCGAAATAAAGAAGTAAAGAACTGAATGTATCAACTGTTAACTACTTCAATCGATACTTTGCCAGTTATTTAAGTGTTAGCTAACTGTATCAACCGTTTATACATTACAATATGTAGTTAGATTTCCCATAACCATTGAACTATTACTTTTGCTATCGCTGCCTGTCTAGACTGTTGAGCTTGCTAGCTTTTTAAAAAAAATGTTTTTCCTTTATTTCATAGGACAGCTGAAGAGAGACGGGAAAGTTTGGAAGGAGAGAGAGGGAGATGAGAGCCGAGGTTGGATTCAAACCCACAACCGCTGCAATGAGGACGCTGCATGGGGCCTGTGACATAACTGCTAGGCTATCCCGCGCCCCAACTAGTTACCTTTTTTAAAGTACTTTTATTGGATTAAATTATGTATAGTGTGTTTTAGGTGATTTATTTAATTTATAAATTAACTCAACTATCCCTGTTGAGTCCCTGCTGTATAGCATACAGTACGGACCTGGAGGAGCATTTTGCTATAATGTCATGAGATTTCACCCCTTCCGTCGTGCTCATACATATATTTTGTTTGTCTGAAGTATAACCTTTTAATGAACTGAAATACATGTTTCTTATAATAACTTGCGAGTCAGAACCTGGAAACAAAGAGTCTTTATATGTTTATACAGTCCAGACGAAAGCACACAGCAGCCAGCTCAGTGGCTCTCTGCTGGTTGCAGTGTGACGAGAGAATTGGCCATTGTGAATTTGTGAGGGGGGGGGTGTGCTGGATCTGACCCTGCGCCACAACCAGACAAGCGAGTGTGAAATCCAGTTGAAGGGTAAGCAGCTGATGAAGCTACATAACAAAGGCAATATCATCTCTCCCGCTTTCTCCAAAATGTCTTTTCATCCATCTTTCTCCTCTTTATAATATCTCCTCTTTCATTGGGCTTCTTCCACAACTTCATGTTGCGGATGGATCTAAGTTGAATTATTATCAATTTCTCTTGCAGTGCGTTTGTAAATCCAGGGCTGGAATATTTTGTCTTTAAGAAACCAATCTTATTTTTGCAACAAAAAACAAACACTTTATGATTTTCTTTTTATTTGTTCCCCAATCTGTTTAAAGTAATCAGGGGCAAATCAGTCATGCCTGTTGGGTCTGTTACCATAGCTACAATAAGGATGTGCAGACAATCATCTGGTCCCTCTTTCCTCCAATAGGGTCACACGGCTGAAGCCGCAATAAGTAAAGATGCTCATCTTTCAGCAACACACTAATAAGAATCAGTAAGATGTTTATGAGTATGAGAAAGTATTGTACAGTGGCAGGCAGGGGACTGCGCCCAGTCATGGCGGACCACAGAAACAAGATTGGACGAGTCACAAAGCAGGAGAGGAAGGTGAGAGCATCTACCATTTTAAAATTCAACTCTTATTGTTCCCTGGAAGAGTTTCGCAGAACAAAACATTGGCTATAAACAAGACACGCTTTAGCATTCAAGCTTTGGATGTAAAAAGAATGCTGAGAACAAAGAAGAAGTGTCACTTTAAATGAAATCAGTAAATGAAATGGATTATTGTGCCTAAAAAGAAGATATCCTTTCTACTCTTTTACGATGGAACAGCAAGAAATTATGTGGGGGAAAAAAAACAGTTTTTTCGTTTAAATTATTAGAAATGATTCGTTGACACAAGTAGTTAGACAGATGTGGGCTCAATCAAAGATAGCTCAAAAACCAATCAGTCACAACATGTGAGAAAAAGACAAGTTCAGAAATGATGGAGAATCTTTGAGGCCAGGCTTGTTAAAAATCAAAGGCCTGGGAGCTCAAATTAAATTTTTGTGGGCTATTTGTATCATTTTTTAGAAACTAACTGTGCTTAGATAATCTGCGGCTTTGAAAAGAACAACAGCCAATGCAGCTTGTTCAGGCTGCTCCCCTACTGGGCGGCCCATGAGCCTGTCGATATGGTGGTTTGATGTCGGATGGAAAATAAGAACCCCCCACAACAAACAGAGAGGGCTGGAACAGAGAGACTGGAACAGAGAAAGAGAGGGTAGAAAGGGAAGAACCATCGACAGATGGACTCTGTTGTGATTAAAGATGGCGGCAGTCTTCACTGCAGACTACGAAGGACTATACTCGATCCACAGAAAAGCTTTGGGAGTAGTCTGCGATTCAACACAACAAAACCAAGAGGAACACAGAAAGGTAAATCAGCAGGTATGATGTCAGCTTTTCAATCTCTGAGGATGAAAACTATGATTACCTGTAACTTTCCATTGTATTGTTTATCGGTCTATTATGTCTGTTATCGTTTTCATGAGAGTGCCATACTGGCTTTGTTGTGTTCTCCCTCTCATCAAAACCAAAGCACATCATTTGATTTGACCAGTGAATGTGCATCCCATGACCAGACTACTGAAAACCCTGACAGATACAGCGCCTAAATTAATTTCTTTTTTTTTTTAAGCCAGCAGATGTTTGACAATGTACTTCACCATTTGGTACATGGTTACAGATGTATGCCTTTGGTATTATACCAACATAGGAAATGTGGGCTTTGTTAATAAGATTTTCCCTCTTTTGAGAATATGGTGTTCTGAGAGCTCGAATATCCAGCAAAAATAAACTCAAGTCTGCAAATTGCTCAATCCTCTGTGCCTAATCCACTCCAAGGCTTGTTAGCCATGACATATTCAGCCAGGACAAAGAAAATCAGCAGGACTCCAGAATACATTTTCTGACAGTCTTTTGATGTTCTCTTTGAATCATTGTCATTGAATAACGTTAACGTGTCTGACACACTTGTATCCAAACTCGCTTATATAAATAACTAATAGCTTAATACTCGAGTGTTGGGTCCAAAAGCTTCATGTAGGTTTGAACAGTTTTAGTTGTAAGGGTTTTGAACATGTTGTTGCGTCTTTTGTTCGTCTAACTTTGAATTCTTTGAAAACAGTCAATTTAGAAAATAGAAGCCTTTTATTGTTAGACTTAAAATGGGAGTATTCATTTCAATGCCTTAATGGGCTTTTGTTCATCAGTAAGTCTTCAACAGAGATAAGCCTATTTCAGCCAAGGCCTACGAGGGTGTCTAAATCCACACTGACAGATGGAACAAAAGACAAGTGAAAGGACTGCGTTGAAAAACATGGAGTTGTCCACTGGTAACACTTAACTTCAGTTGGATGATTAAGAACTTGAAAATATTGTAAAATGATCGCATAGCAATTCACAATATGGAATTCAAACTTCTTTTTGCTTTCATGTGGTACTTACGCTTTTTTATATTGTTATTACTATTTTTATTTTATTTTTTATATTGTTAACTTATCTGTACTTCCTATTGATTTTTGGTGTTATGAGCAACTGTAGCAAACAAATTTTCCCCTGGGATTAATACAGTATTTCTGATTCTGATTCTGATTTAGAAAAAACATCTTAAAATATCCAACTGCAGAATTTTTACAAGAAGAAATTCTATCACTGTTCAGTCATCAAAAAAGGACAAAAAAATCTCACAATATCTTTTATTGTTTGAGTTTTAATGACCAAGCATCTCTGGAAAGATTCTGGCACAATATGCTACTTGTACTTGGTCTTAGCTCATTTCATAAATGGGTCTGAATACTACATTCACACTTCTGAGCAGTGGAACATCTTTTGTTTCTCTGCATGCTGAGCAGCTCCTCCACTCATTTGAGGGCTTCCTGTGTGAAGTTACAGGGAAGAAAAGTGTATTTTATTCACAGTTTAAATTAATGTCAATTGTGTATTTGACAAGTTGGAGTTTAGGTATCTATCATTTTCTTCAATTTTTTAGTGCTAAATTAAGCTTCGGTGCATCATTCTCCCATCAATTTGTCATGGGAGCAAAAAGATCAGTAGTTTGAAACATAGAATAGTCACATACATCTACATTATTTTTCGTCCGACATGGCAAAGACCCAGTAGATGGATGGCGTTTCCGTGTAGTTCATTATCAGAAAACATGAATGCCATTAGTTATTTTAGCTCTTTAATATTGGCCCATCTCTACAACAAAACAAAGAAGTGGGTGTAGCTCTAATAGTTTAACATGTTGCACGGAGCTCAGTGGATCACCAGTATAGGCATAAGAGAAAAAAAATGTGTTTGAGGGGGTATAATTCCAACAACTCAACCTATGTTACCCTGCTGTTTTGGGGTATATGATATGTGATGTAAGGTATGAGTAATTTATGAACATCAGTTGCTATTTTAAGACCCTGGTTTGGTTGATAATGGATAACTGTGTTGTATTTGAGGCAGGTGACTTCTTAAATTATAGCAGGTTGCTGGTTTGCAACAATTCTCACATGTAATGACTAATTCAGCTCCTTAACAAACACATTTTAAGTTTGGTGTCTGTTGTTTCCCAATGGGTACAGCATCCTGGAAGTAACATGATTCTTAAAGCGCTGGAATTATCTTTTATTTATTTGTTGAAGTTTTATTTGTCAAGGAACAAATATGAAGCAAGTAAAACAATTCCACACACGACAGTATTAATAGCCTTAGCTTATTTTAAAGGCGGTAGATCTGCCTTTTAAGATACATTAAAATCAACATCTAATACAAAACAGACAGAACAAAACAAGCTCAGGGTTGGTGTCAAGGAGTGTGTTTGTATGTTTGATCAGTTTGCCTCCTGATATGTTCTCTCATGCAAGAAGGTGTGGTTCAAGGTTTCATGCCGTCTAAATGTGTTAGTGTTTTTACAGCTACAGTGTCAGATGCTGTTGGAAAAGGCACAGACAGAATACAACATGCTTTATAGTATTTAGAAAACATAGATACGATTGTGCAGACATATAGTCAGCTTTTTTTCTCCTATGAATATGTAGTCTTAAACTCTTTCCTTTTCCATCAGGATCAAATGGATGGCAAAGACAAACCATTATGGCGACGTTCTGCTTTAGCCAAGCCAGCCTGGGTCAGAGGGATGAGAAGGATGTTTCCATTACTGCAGCATGCTGTGTCAAATAACCATGCAATGGACTCTGCAATAGATGGATATACTGAAGGAGGATGTGTAAGGAAGACGATCAAACTCAAGGTAACAAAAGTTGATGAGCATGCAAATCTGCTTTTTCTCATCCACTATCATCATCATCATCATCTTCTGTGTTTTTCTTGAAAGTTGAGTATATATAAATCATGTATTTATATAGGAAAAGGCTGATTGAGTTGTTCCGCTGACATGTTTGAAAGAAAAGCACGTGGTTGGAGCGTGACTATGACAGTGGAGTCCTGAAATGACTGTTAAGGCTGGAAGTCATGGATGATGATGTGATATGTTTTGGCAGGCCTGAACATCCCTGATCTGAGCTTCTGAAGCACTTCTGATGTTTTTCGCAAGAACAAATCCTGACCTTTGACATACATTGAATTGAGACAACATTGGAATTCCTTTAGAAATTAAAACAATAATACAAATACAGTATGTAGTGTGAGAAGAAAATTGTCTTAGGATGCTTAAATTGTTACTGCCCACAATATTTTTGGTGTTGATGGAGCTGTATGTCTGAGATCTTGTGCATGTTTTAGCTGACTGGAAATGTGTATGCATGCTTCTACTTGCTCTCCCAAATGGTTTGTTCTGTGGATTCATAATCGAATGTGTTGTGTTTTAATGGTTCCGATCGTCTTTTATTATATGAGACTCAGTAACCGTACTCATAACCATGCAAATGCTCAATGATTACTTAAAATGAAAGCTTGAAAGCTGACAACAAACTTGCGTTTGATCTGTCCTGCAGTGTTTTTACTGTTGAGTCTCAGTAGAGAGTTCAAAATAGCTTTGTATTTTCAGTTGAGACATTATTGCATTCGATGTCTTCTTCCGAAGCAATAGAAAGAGCTATTTATTGCAGTTCTGCGGGCCTGCTTTTTGACATATTCTTTGGCCAACTAGTCAAAATGAAGTTTAAATTCTGTATAATTGTCAAAGTTGAATGTTAATGGCTGTTTTAAACACTGCAGTGTTTATACAGAACAGATACATTTGGTTATGGCCTAGAAGTATTTGTTCCATTGTGCACAACACACACACACAAAATAGCTAATATGTCTTAAAGGCTATGGCAACATGTTAGGCAAACTAAGGAGTTGGAAACATTTCATTCAAGTAAAGCATTTTGCAGCTGCTGAAAATAATGGCTACACTGTCTGCATCCACAATGTGTATCTGAGCTGTTATGTCACCACAAAGTAATATAAATAACACTGCAACAGGGATCATGTATGTTGTGATAGGTACTGGTAGTGATGATGGGATTGCCCTGAGTTTAACACCAGAATTCAACACCTTGTCAGCTATTTGAGTGAAACTTCCTGGTGGTAAAAACATCAAAAGGAGAGATAAAACTTGTTCCGTGGTATGCTGATTTCACTGATGAAAGCACTTTGAGCTTGTATAACCCTTATAACCTAACCAGTCATCTGGTGCAATCTCTGTATGGAATCAAAAGCTGCAGACTTTCTGCCTCCAAAGCAAACCCTTTTGAAACTGTGTTGTATTGGTAAAAAATGGGGCCTGGAATATGGAGAAGAGATGTTGAAAGTGTAGTCTTTGCACTAGAAGCTTTGACAGATTGAACATGTAAAGTCAGTGTTGTCATTATGTCGTTTTCTCAACCAAAATGAAGACGTTTACAGTGCTTTGACAAAGGTGAATTAGGTTTATTTTTATTATTCACACATTAGTGATCTGCCTTTGATTGGTGTAGTTGTGAGCACCTGATGCAGATCCACTTTTTTTTTTACAGTGAAGAATCCTGTACTGTACCATTAATGTGTCGTCAAAAACAAGTGCACATAAAGTAAGTAAGACCAGATGAGACGCCTCCACTTTATTCATGACTTTGCCGGTGCTGGAAAAGGAAAACTAAAGACATATCTAAGGGAAATTCAATTTGGTGTTTTTAGGAGTTATTTTGTAAGTTATAGAATGCTGGAATACTGTATACATTTGGACTAACAGAAAGGGTTACCACACTGTTACTGTCTTTACTTATATGCAGAAGACAGTCATGGGACAGCCAACAGTTTCAGTATAGCATTGCACAAACACATAGCGGTCTTGGAAATTTCTAATTTTCCTACCATGGTTTTGTAAAAGATATTTATTAATTCAGAGAACAGGGAATGGATCATTTCCATGGTGACAGCATCTCCCCAGTAAGTATCTGGATTTAAGGGTAGATTTAATGCTATATCTTGTTTTGAGATTTCACATTTCACTGTGTAACGTATCTATCGTGCTATTCACTTCAAAACCTACCTCTAGATCTACCCTTAAGTCATGCCGTGTAAATGTACATGCAATGTGAAGCTAAGAGCAAACTAAAGAGCGCTACCATTCGCCTACTAACACTACCATGCAGCTCGAGACAAGGACAATGTTGTCCACCTCTTGCGCTTAGCGTTCAGTGCTTAATTATGGCGCGTTCCAATTTGATAACTCCTTTGTGCAAACATGTGGGGAGAGGAGTTGGAGGTGTGTCGCTGACGGAGAACGGAGGATTCAGTGTGGCGGAGGTGTCGCCAAACAGCAGTTTGTGTTGGTTTCATGACGGTGCTCAAGGGCGATATCTACTGGATTTTTAGTAGTCTACCCATTGTCTGTGTACTTTCTCATCAAGCGAGAAGATTTTAAATGAGTTTAACTTGACTTATGGCTACACCTAGATCCATTACAATAACATTAAAGTCCACTCTGATCCTTTATTTTATCATGCCTATAAACCCCTCTATTTCAGCCCTGCTCAGAACAGGCTGTTCTGTGCCTGTAGCTTTAAATGCAAGAGCTGTTTGACCATGGGCCCCTCTGTGGAAGGGGATGTGGCTTGGCTTTCTTACACCATGCCATATTGTTTACAGTTGAAAGGTGGACTCAGAGGGCAGAACAAACTGCTAGCTGTGGGAGTATGACCCACCTGGGGGTTACTGCCTTTTGTGATGTCACAAAGGGAAAATCTGCCAGTTTTAGCACACATTTTCGAAAAAGTGGGGCAGGGAAAAGACGAAAGGGGATGGACTTTTCTAATTATTAAGGGGTTTGTAGACAGACTAGGGACACATATTAGTGTTCGAAAAACATGGGAAAGTGCATTTTGCATGTGACCTTTCAATCGTTCAATCAATAAATCATTATAGCGCCAATTCATAAACGTTATCTCGAGATGCTTTACAAAAGAAAAATGGGATAGGGGGAGATGGGATAAGATGCAGGAAGAACGTATCCTTTGTATTCCTTGCTTGTAGACAACAGGAACGCTTTAGTAACAGGAACATTGTAGTAGCTTAAATAAGCAAGTTGTGCAGGTGCAATTTAACACGGAATTCGAATAAAATGCTTGCAAATTAATAAATCATGCACGCGTTTTGTAGACAATTTGGCCTACTAAAATTGCAATCATTAATACAGGTGCATGACATAAAAAAGGAGCAATGCGTTTGAAAAAAAAATAAAAATAGGCCTATCCGTTTCCCCTCCAGGGCTCCATATGTGGGTTTATCTGATATAATCAATAGTCTTGTTTGCATTTTAAAACGTTTTTTTTTTTTCAATATTTGAAGACAGCATATAACAATAAACAGACATTAGCCTATATTGACCTGTAATCCAAATTCAGTTCCCGATGAAGTATTTTTATATTCATGCTGACCTGCCTTCCATAGGCTACATGGACATAGGTTTAGAATTGTGTGAGCAAATTAATACTTACTAAAGACTGCCATTATGCCTTAATAAGAAATACAATTTTAAATCCCGAAATAAGGGGAAAAGTACAAGAATCTGTTTGAGATATGTAGGGTATTTTAATTCTTGATAGTGAGGCAGAGAAAAAAAAAAAAAAAAAGAGTCAGTGTATCACATGTACCAACACTAAACTCTGGTAATGTGTGTAGTGAACGGGCGAGGCGCTGTGCATCATTGCTGTCTGTGTAGCCTGGGCTGGCTCCGCACAGACAGTGAGAGACAGCCATGGAGAGGTGGAGAGCGGACTGTTTTCTTTGTTATTTTTAAAGTCTTGTAATTTGCAACTATGACACTGTTTACGGGGACTTGTCCCGGTCTAACTGAACGATGCAGCCGAGGGCAGGAGGACGATTTCCACCGGTAAAGTATATGTCACTTTTCTCCTCTCCCAGTTTAGATTGGGATTGCGGTAGTCGGGGATATATGTGCCATCGCTTTGCTGGTTGTAAATCTGCTCTGATATTGATGTGGGATTCCCTCTGTGTCCTCTGACGGGGGTTGTGGGGGTGGATGTTTGCGGTCCTTATGTTGTGGTTTTAGTTAAACAGCTGTTCTCGGAGATAATAGATAGCCTATTTGTAGGTGAGTAGTGTGACAAAGTTGTGCACTTGTCGGTCGGCTGCTGAAAGGCCTGGCAGTGTGTGTGTGTATGTGTGTGTGTGTGTATAGACGGAGTTTGTTTCTGGCTCCCCTCCCCCCACTCGCCGCTGCTGTTCTGCTCATTCTGGAGAGGCCAAGACATGAATGTGATGAGAGGCTCACTTCAGAGGAACAAATGGGTACAGTTTCAGGTTAAAGGGACCTTTCCTGAACCTGCCTCTGACCGGCAAGCAAAAAAAAAAAAAAAAAAAAAATAGCGCACGAGCCTTGTCAAAGCACACACCTGTGACCGCAGAACCGTTAATTTAAATGTGCACGCGCTAACCGAGCATCACTGTAGCAACATGACTGTTTGAGTCAAAGATGAGATGACATACAAGCATCTTCATTAACGCTTGATAAGCACACCGGCCAGGAAATAACCTTGCATTCTAAATATCCCACATTGTGTTTTTCATTGTCAGTAAGTCTAGCACACCTTGCCCCTCATGCAAAGTGCACGTGCTGCCCACACTTCAGGATTGGGCAGAGAGAACTGCTCTGTTGCCAACCTTCTCCTGTCTTTGTTCAATCACGAAAGTAATATTTTTTTTTTCCTGTATTGGATAAGACAGAGAGTGGGTGTGCCCTAAAGGGATCGTGATGGCAACCTTTACTAAATCTTTATAACCACAGTCAGAGAAAGGGTAGTTGTCAGTCCTTATAAGCGCACTATGAATCCCCCCCAAAAAACTATTCACAACTAAACAGAGAATGTGAAATTAGTAATCAGAATGTATATAAAAATGAATCATTGTTTTGTTTGGTTAGCGCAATTACTGGGCACCCTGATGTCCATCCTACAGCTTCAAGAGGCTGTTGCCTAGATATGTGAATGGTATAGTCTGAGAAAAAAAAGCTGGTTCTCTTGCTTTGGTTTCATCAGGAAAGCAGCTCTTCAGTGTTTACGACTCTCCATCTGGGAGCTTAATCATAAGCTGTACGTGCAGAGATGGAGATACTGGCATCACTGTGTCTTCCTCAGCAAAAAAAAAAAAATGCTCAGTGACGAAATATGAGGACCAGGATGTGTCCTTGAACCAGACATCCAATCCCTAAAATCATTCCTACTGTTCTGCAGCTGACCATGCACTATGACAGCAGCTGGATGGAGTAAAGAGAGACTATAAGACATCAATCAGTTGCATATCATTTACAGTAATGCTCATATTGGCTTATATTTGGGAATAATAAGGCTGCCTTGTAAATGAGTTCATATTGTAAACCTCAAGTGAATTCGCCGATATGATGAAACGCTCGTACTCCTTCAGATGAATCTTGAGTAGCTGTGTAAAGTAATGATATACTGTTGCATACAAATGAGAGGATACATTAACGCTTCATCATATTCATATTTGCTGCTTGATAGAGAGCAGCTTTAGAGCCAGACTGCGTTGAAGCCACGACTCTTGGCCTGGATTACCACAACACGCCCACATAACTCTGAATGTGACTCAGTGCTGCACAATTATAGCCTATAAAACCTTGTTATATGCCTAATGACTCCAGTTTTCAATTTCTGCATACTTTTAAGACGTTTTGCAGAATATGCAGTCATGTGAGGTCAAGTCCTCGTCATTTATTTCAGCATATTTCTGTGTTACTGATTTCTTGGTAGTTTTCTCCTCAATTTGTCTATTGCATCAATTCCCTAATTCTACCTTAAGTTCACTATACCAGCTTTGTACTGTAGCTTTCAGAGAGTTAATTGCGCACTTCATATCAAAGTGCAAAAAGCCATAAAGCTCACCTTTCGAGCAGCATGTGTTGCATATATGAGTGAACCTGAGGCTACTTTCTAGTTAAAATGCTTCATTATAGCCAGCCACATATTTATAATTCTCTGGATTCCCACAAAAATTGAATTAATTTTAAGCTCAGCTGGAAATTGGCACAGGCACAAGTTTTTCATGGAAAACTGATCAAATGCGAACTGTGCAAAAGTCTGATAATCTCCAAGGAGGCTCTAATCCATTTGTAACCGAGCATATGGTGAATATGGCACATAATCCTTTTTTTTTTTCCAGCAATAATATGTTATGTGATTTCACCTCTTTTATCAATGAATCACTGCATATTTGCCCATTAATCTGAGAATACATAGTAAAAACAATTATCATGGAAAGGGCTGAAACAAGCTAGCACTACTCAATGATGTGATGAAGCTGCGTCTCATTTTGTATTTTCCCTCCTTGCAGGAGTTTTTGTGCAGCGGCATAAGTAGAGATCTGGATCTAATAGTGTTGCAGCGCGGGCTCTACGGGGACGTGGTTTGTGGATGCTGGGACTATGAGCATAAGCGACAAAAGGGACTACTTAGAAGAAGGAGGCAGCTTTACTGAGGATGCTCCCAGGCCTCCAGTGCCAGGGGAAGAAGGTGAGCTGGTGTGCAGTGATGGACGCCCGTACTGCAACCCTGGCTTCTCCTCAAAGACAGAGAGCCTTAAATGTGAGGCGTCTGTGGCTACACCCAGGCGACCCGACTTAGACCTTGGTTATGAGCCAGAGGGAAGCGCTTCTCCTACACCACCCTACCTAAAGTGGGCCGAATCTCTTCACTCTCTCCTGGATGACACAGATGGCATCCTTCTGTTTAAGACTTTTCTAGAGCAGGAGGAGTGTGCAGATATGTTAGACTTCTGGTTTGCCTGCAGCGGCTTCCGCAAACTTGAAGCAAATGAGGAGTATGAGGAGAGGAAAATTAAACTGGCGAAAGCTATCTATCGGAAATACATTGTGGACAACAACGGGATTGTTTCTAAGCAGATCAAACCAGCTACAAAGTCCTTCATTAAAGACTGCGTCCTGAAGCTCCAAATTGATCCTGCAATGTTCGACCAGGCTCAGACGGAGATACAGACTATGCTTGAGGAAAACACCTATCCTTTATTTCTTAAGTCTGACATATATTTGAAATATACAAGGACAGGAGGAGAGAGCCCCAAGCTGTATAGCAATCAGAGCCCTGTCTCTGGGAATGGTAAAGGCCTGTGGGGTTATTTACAACCTTCAGATGAAAAAACAAAATTAAGAAGTGAGGACAAGCCAGAGGAGCAGCCCGAGTGCATCCCCATGATGAGCAGCCTGCTCACCCAGAAGCTGCTAACGGAGACGCTACCACCACATGTTTCCAACAGTCCCAGATTCCAGGACAGTCCCGAGTACAGGTAAATCCTCTCAGTGAACTACAAAGCTTCCCTTCTTCTCTTAAACGTAACACCTTTTCTCTGCAAACTGCTGAATTAGAAATACTTCTGAAACCCCACAAAACCAAGAATGCTGCAGATTTGAAGTGAGAACAAAGCCTGAGTATAGCACAAGAGAAAGCTGAGATATGAGGAGTGGTGTATTGACACCTGGTGGAGAGGAAATGTCAGAGGCTTCAGATGTTAACTTGTGTTTAAAGGTGGAAGTAGATTTTTCTGGTGCAGGGAGTGTTGGGATCATGATTTCCTTCACAAAGGTGGGAATATATAATGTTTTTTTCTGAATCAATACGAAAACAATGTTTTATTTTTCCTAAATTAAAGTAGTGTTTATCTTGACAACGAGGTTAAGGTCATTAAAATTACGTAGCTTTTCAAGTCTGTCAATTCTGTGGTTTCATACCAGTAGTTGACTTTGATGTGTGTGTGCGCAGTATCAGTATCATTTGAATAATTTCCTGTCAAGCTTTGAAAAATGTTCTCATCCACACAGTGGTACGTCTAAGTAGATTAGCCCAGATATTATAATGCCTGCAATGGTATCAGCAATACCAAGTCTGCTGATTGATGATGAAAAACATTATCTTTATTTATTTATTTACCAAACAAGTTAATTGCAGCTGCTCTTCTGAATGAGCAGCATTTATCTAATTTCTCGCCTGTTTCCTTTGATAACTTATATTTCTCCAATGTTGACAGTTTAATAACTAATTTATCAGCTGCAGGCAAAGGCTAGATATAGCTTTTGTTGCTTGCTGTTTGCTAAACCCCTCAATCCTCTCCAGCTTCTCCCTCTTGTCCAGATGTTGTTAATTTTGACTCAGAAAATAAAATGGAAAACGCTAAAGTGCAGAACTCAGAAGTATTCACAAAGGCAGTTGACAAACTAATGGGTGACGTCACAGTGGCTTCATATATTATTTATACAGACTGCGTGGGAAGGCCTATATCCTAAAACTATGACTGTGTGCTGTTAACAGACAAGAAAACTAAACAAGGTCACCCTCTGTAGTCGACAAGTATTACTTGTTCTTAAAATGAATTACTATTATTTTTAATGGAGGCCCAAGATGCCAGTAAAATGTTGCGTCTAGGCTGTAACAACTTCTCCTGCCCGGATGTAAGCGCCGTGGATAGGAGCAGCACTTGACAGGGGTGCAACTAGCACAGGCATGTGGACCTTAACCTGCAAGTAAAGGTGGGTAAGATGACATGAAATGAATATCTCTATTCTCTTCCTTTTTGCGCTCATAATTTGATATTGCAGTATTACAAAATGAATGAAGTGCTATGACCCTCCTTCTCCCCCGTCAAACAAGCATGAGGCTATACTCAAATCATCTTAGTGCACGAGTCCAAAGAAAGATGCTTTTATAAGTCCGTGTTCAGTTCAATTCTCAGGACTTATATCTTGATATATACCCCCCCCCCCCCCCCCACATTCCATGTTATAGCTGTTTTATTAAAAAAAAGCATTCGAACAACATAATAGCTGGGGAATTTTATTGTGAATAACTTGTTGGAACTAGCGTGGTTATCACTGAATTGAGTTGAAACCCACCTTATAAGCAGTTGTTTAGGTGGTTGTAATGCACATACAATTGGGTGCTGCGATGGGCTCATGTTAAAGCTCGGGACAGACAGACACAGATATACTCTGCAGAACGAACACATTCACATCATGTTGCTGTTACTTATAGATGTCAAACTTGGAGAGGAGCGAACACATGTTTACCTGATAGCTGTGCCACTACTCACTATAATGAGTAAAAAAAATGCCTCCTACTCTGACACGAGGACAAGGCAGTGCCATTTGATCAGTGAGGTCCAAACCAGTTTGGGGCTAAAATAGTGTTTAATCCATCCAATGTCTGCTCATTTTAACACACATTATCCAGACAAATGACAGCGAGAACAGACTCTGTTTGACTGTGGATGCTTGTTTACACACTTGTGATCCGCCTGCTTTGGATAGTATGTAATCTTAAACAAAATGGAAGTAAGTAGCACTAGTTACATGCTTTGGCTTGAGCCATCTTGGCAAAATAAAGTATAAGAATGCAAAATGAAAAACAATTACAATGTGGTAGTGGGTTGTGTTACTGTTCTTTCACAGTAATCTGATGAAGATGAGAGCTGAGCAAAAAAGTTGTTTTGCAATGCCTGTGCCTCTGAATGTGTTGCAGGAGGGGTCAGGATGGGTTTGTGGACTGGTTTTCTCTCTGCATTCTGATTGCATTCAGCCTCTCTGCTTGATATCAGCAGAACCTAAGATGAACCAAGTATTTCTTTGCGAAACATATTCAAAGGCAGTTTTTTTGTACATCAGTGTTTGCTTGAAATTTGTCAAAAATGAAAAAAAAAGTCGATCGAAATAATTACCTCAAGGCATTCCAGCCATGTGCATGGGAAGATGTGAACAGTATCTGAAGGCAGCAAATACTGAGGCTTAAATAAGTGAGTGAAACACAGCGTTGAGTTTATTTTCACATCATTATTTCAGCAATCAAGCATTTGGCTTGAATTACAAAAAGACATGCTTCATTTTTAAATAGCCTTTTAGCATTACCCGCTGGGTTTTTGTTAAAACTGAATTTTACATCAATTGTGTCTGATCTCTGGAAAGACAGGCAACAAAGGACATTAAAAAGTCTTTCAGATCGGCTCTAAAAGGGAAAAGATGACTTGAAAGAGAAGGACCTATACACTCATGAATGCTTTGTGAGATTTTTGGAATATGAACAGCTCAGTTTGGTTTTCAAGTTTTAGCTGTGTACCTCAAAGGCAAGACTCAATTGTCGATGTAGTGTTTGAGTGATTGATCTAGGGTCTGCATAATGGAATACAGAGGCAAGGTAACCATTTGCATGTTGTGTTACTGGGAGGACAGGAGATCATTTGTGTTTTCAAATGGTCTTATTGTGGTTATTTCAGATCACTAAAAGGAATCAGATGAATGAGTGTCCAGTGCTGTGTTTCTTTTCCAATGTTGGTTTCTTTCACTTGTCTGACAGCCTAAAATTTTTATTTTTTGACTGCACTTTTTTTGTATTTGTCCCAACCCATCCCCAACCTGGTGCTTGAATTATTCACTGTTGTTTAATGTAGATGCTAATGAAAATCAGCCGGTCACAAAGGTTTCATTTTGAACTGTGGCTGGGTTCTTCTGCATTCCAAACAGGGAGAGAGCTTCGGATTTGTGCTTCAGGGAATTCCAATTTGAATAAAAAGAGATGATGCCCAACATCTTTAATTCATGGGTAAGAAGTGTGCTCAGCAAAGTCAGTGACCGAGAATGAAGCCTCCTAATATATCTGTGTGCGTCAGATTAAGAGCAGCAGTTAAACCCCCGCAGTTCAGCACTCCAGAATTGTATTGGGAGGCACTCTAGTGTTTTATTGTATTGAGGAAGATTGACAAAATGCAGGAAATTGAGTTTTTCTGTATTACTAGAAGGCTATCTTGCTACCTCTGTATAACCTTACTGATATTCTTGTTTGAAAAAATGCTAAAGCTATATATTTCACAAGTAATCTTATAGCACAGATCCATTTGTGTATTTGTTCTATTAGAACCAAGATCAGCCATAGACACATAGACACACACTTGAATGATACAAACTTAACGGTATTCAAATGTGTTGCATGCCCATCAAAATAATCTTTATATCCGAGTTTAAGGAAAATATTATTGTTTTCAGCAAAGTCTATAAGGGTTGAGACAAATGATTTGAATGACATGAAGGAGGGAAATTTGAATATGACGTTATTTGGACAAACGAGTTAACAATAGGAGGAAGTAAGAAAAGGACAGCGGTGGAAAATACTTTTAGGGATGAAGCGTTATAAGAGGTGAAGCTGACACCATCTTGCAGGGAATGACTTGGTTCATCTTGCACTTAAACCTTTTAGGGTCATTTTGTATTTGTCAGTTAATCAGGTATTGTGTTGTATCATTTTAAGATTGTCTAGCGATATATCAGTTATCGCAGAATCGCTGTCTCATGATATTATTGTTATCACGGTCTGTATGGTGTCCTGGTATCCTATCATATCCTGCATTTCATTCAACATCCACTTTATTTGTCCCCAAAGAGCAATTAGTTATAGACTATAGAATGTCTATAGTGTGGTCGATGCATTCATTGATGTTTCTTGACTCAGCATACATGTCACATACATGATAAATACACAGCACTGTGTGTTCATGGCTCTACAGTGATTTAAACCTTCAACTCTATTTAGACTTTAACCCAAACCAAAAACTACTGTCTCCTTTAACTTACTACCCAACCAGCCAACTATTCTTGTTAACAGCCTGTAGAAGTCATTTAGAAGTACTACTTGCTGTATCAATATTTTGTTCCACTCCTTGTCAATGTTGTCATGATGGTCGATGTCAGAAATTCTTTTTTTTTCCTCAGTATTTCCTTTATTTCTTGATTTTTTTTTCAGACATGCAACGTGTATGGAGCCCATCAACCCACATCCTGTCACATATCTGTTTGATAGGGCTCCTGCATCCAGCGCCTTGACTAGTGAGCAGCAGAGTATGTCCAGTGACACAACAGACACAATTTCCCTAACCGACGGCAGTGTGTAAGTATTGCCTCACCACACACACACACACACACACACACACACACACACACACACACACACACACACACACACACACACACACACACACACACACACAAATATATGATGGAGTACATTAACAACATTAAGTTGTTGTATCATAAAGGCTGAGCTTGGCTGCTGCACTTCTGGCTGAAGCCCCAAATGAAAGGCAGAACACTTTAGTAAACTTACCAGAGCAGCACTTAAAGTTTCATCTGCTCTTTAAGTCGTAAAGCACCAGTAAAAACTTTTAATTATCTAATGCTTTCTGGGGTTCCTAAAACTGTACTCTTAGCTGATATAAAATGATGTACTGTATGTTTGAATATACAGGACTATAAATGTTAACATACTTGATTATCTTTGCAGTTGTGACAAAAAAAGTATTCCAAATGTCTCAAAAATAATTCTCAGTAGTCACAGCTCTTTATTTGTGTTAAACAAAGCAGAGTTTGTCTTCTTGTTTGGCACAGGGATGAGACCAAAAGCGCCGTATCTACCATCTGGGATCACATGCCCAGTATCATTTGAGTGTGCTGGTAAAATATGATTTTTAAAACATTTTTTTTCTAGTTGGAAAGATGGCACAGGAGAATTGTCCCACAAAAACTTCAAAGCTTTCACAACTGGACACAAATGTGTTTGAAGCTGAACGCATGAGAGGCTTATTTCAGCTATTTGGTCCAGAGCGTTCAGTACAGGAGAGTGTAAAACCCAGCATGACCAATACCGCGTGGAATTACAGACTCACGGGTGTGTTAACATGTCACTGTAATCTGCCAGACCACTTGTGGTGCAGAAGAGACACAATAAACCTGTGAGAATGCCTGTACTGATTAATCAAGACTTATTCATTTGGGCTAAAACGCAGCGGAAAGCCTTTCCACTTCAAAGCTGCCTGTGTTGTTTATTCATGAGGATGTTCTATGAAAATGTCTTTGTTGTTAATTCCAGAGATGGGGTACCACCCTGCAGAAACCGCAAACAGAAACATCGGGAGATGCACGACAGTGCCAAAGCAAATGGGCGAGTGTCACTACATCATATTCCAGTGAGTTATTCATGGGTTATTTCCCTTCCCTCTGACTTTCTGCCTCTACACCCTTTCTCTAACTGCCTGTCCCTGCCGTATTTTTTTCCTCTGCTCCTACATTTGAGATGTGCATATTTAAGCTCGACTGTGTCGCAGGGCCTGTGATGGAGTATAAGAATAGCTGATGGTGAAAGCGACTGGCTGTCTAAATGCAGCTTGATGCTTTCCTAAGCTGTGTGCGCTGAAGCCTAGCAGACATGATTCCTCCCCTGTGACAGCCTGATGCCTCCCTCTGCAGCTTATTCTGTCTCTTGGTTGGAAAACCTGGACCTAATTAGGCCTCTGAGTAAAGAGTCAAATTAAAAGTCTACACGCAGCATCCTATTAGGACTGTAGAACTGTATACTCCTCACTCTCACTTTTTCTGCCCAAAAATAATAATCGCGGCTTCACCTCATTGACGACAACTGGATTGACATGGCTTCCAGTTTTTTTCTTTTTTTTTTTAATGTAACGTTGGTGTTTTTTCCAACCTATTTTTTTTTTTAGTCACATGCCATAAGATTTCTATACATCATACATGCAGTGCATTAATATCTTTTTGAAAACAAAATAAATATCCCTCATGTCCTTGAGAAGGCAATTCAAGTAGAAATGTATTGTATACCAAATTTCATACATTAATCTAATTCAAAGAAAATAATTCATTAAAAACATAAAAGAGTGGGAGCATAAACCTGACAAGCAGTCTTCAGTTGCCTAATGTCTATTAACGCTTGACACTGCCTTCTTTAATATTTCCTTTATGTGGTCACTGAGAGGATGTCAGGGGTCAGGGTGGTTTAAACTATTGTGTTGACAGTTGTTCAGCAGTAGCAAAAATTCACAGAGAGTGCTCACAGTTTGACACGTCTTCCCCCAGCGCACAAACCGGATTCCGAAGGATATCCACGTGGAGCCGGAAAGGTTTGCTGCAGAGCTGATCTGCAGGCTGGAGGGCGTGCTGAGGGAGAGAGAGGCTCAGCAGAAGCTGGAGGAGCGGCTGAGGAGGGTACGACTGGTACGTTCATTGTATTTCCTGAGCCAGTGTCTACTGTTGAAAGCACAAGCAGATCCACTGTTTTAGTTAATTTGGGTTAACGTGTGTGAATAAGCAGCGTTTATTTTTTTTTTCAGAGCTAATGCAGAGCTTCACATTGCAGAGCGCTGTCTGTCGACTAAATGAGTTCTTGAGGGAGTTCAGGGAAAGGACAGGAACCAAAATGTTTTGACTCAGAGACATACTGAGCTTCTTTTACTGAGTAAGTGAATAATATTAGTGGCCAGGAGGGGAAATAAAATTTAAGTACTTGTCCCTAAAGTAGGGGTAAGTTTAAATCTGCAGCTATCATTGATTTTCATCATGGCTTTAATCTGCCAATTATTTAACACATAAACTATTCCTTCACCAGTAAAATAACAGATGTGGAGGGAAATGCTTCATTTAATTCAGCAGAGGTTGTTATACCGTCACAGAATCCCTTATTTTATATCAACACTGGGGCGAAAAATGTAAGTGTACGACCAAATACAACAAGGAAAATCAGAAATGACACAGCAGTCTATCGGCTATTAGAACAGAACCATTGATCATTTCTGGAGCAGATTTTGGTGTAATGAGATCATTTCCTGTCTTTATTTTCTTTTTTTGGACTAACCTTTTATTTTTTCTTAAACTGGAAACATTTTTCACATTTTTATTTACAAGTTTATTTTCTCACCTAAGCCTATGAATGGATGTTCCCCTTTGACTAAAGAGTCTGAATTCAATCATGACTGTAGATGGAATACTGAGAAGCAAACAGTATATTGAGCAGGATCACAAATGTGTGTGAGATGCCACCACAGCCCACTTCTAAAGCCTGAAGGCGAGATGTGTGTCTGGCCAGCGAGTTTAAAGTTTTCAGAAACAAAGGACACTTAAATCCGTCTGGCCTTAATAAAATTAATGAGGCTAGCCATTTGAACGGGGAACAAAAAAGCATCATGAATCATTTGGAGAATTCCACCGTTGGCCTGTCAGCGATCTGGCTTTGTGGATGAATCGGATGAAGCACCTGCACACTCGGCCACTTGTAAGCCTGGAACAGCGTGCCGCCTGTTTGATGTCACTTGAACGATGATGAAATAGCCGATGCTATCACAAACAGAATCTCCCTCTGTACATCGAGCCAAATATTAAGTCTCAAGGCAGACAATTTATGTGGTTTGGACCTGGAAGGAGAGAGGCTGCCATCACACGGCTTGTGGTTTGCTTTATTAAACCTGGAGGCAGGTATGAAATGACTTCCTTTATCTAGTGAGACTCTGTGCATTTAGAAGAGGAACTGTAAACTAATGTTGAAAATGATATGCATGAAGACTTTTCTTAGAAATATGATTAAAAAATACTTCTAAGTTACCATAATGCTACAGTTAATTCACAGTCTTCTCAGAATCAAATCAAAGTTGCATTAAGTGTAATATTTCGGGACAATGGAGCAATGCACCTGGTGATTTATAGAGACAAGCAGCAGCAAGCTGGTCATAAGAGGAAATCATTTCCGAAAAGGGACTGCAGAGGTTGCATTATTTGAATATTTTCTGTCTTTGACATCATTTGTGAGCAATGACAGACATTTTGAAATCTGTGTACGTGCGTGCGATACAGAGAGCCGATGAGAATTGTAAACGTGTGACCATGTAGAGACAGAAATGACATGCCGTCCTGTAAATAGGATAAATAAGATAAGGGTATTTAGTTTGTTTAATAAAATGACAGGTATAGAACTGTTCTGTAGGGAATGTATCTTTAAATGACTGTTGTGATCTGGAGCTATATAGAAAATAAAATGAACTGAATCTTCAAGGGGGGCGGGGCGCCCTCATAATATGATGGCAGAGGAAACACTGCTATGGGTCGTTAACAGGGGTCTGAAGCGGTCCTTCTGGTGCAGCAGGGTCGAGTGCGACAGGATCTCCTCCCACTGAAACCAGTGCTTGCAGAATCGGTAAATCACACATTCAGAAAGTCATGCCTGGTTCTAATTTCTAATCACTTTTAATGGGTGTAAAGTTTCCCTGTCTTTGTTTGGGACTGTCTGAGGCAAAGATGCAAAACCTATTGACAATCACCTCTGCTGCAATCTCCCTTTTATGTTTGATTACCCTCAAGGACGAGTTTAAGGTTTGAAATTATGGCAACAACCGGTCGATTTAGTTCGCTTCAATTACTATCTATTCAAAAATGTGTTCATATTGAATTGATATGATTAAGGAACATTGCATCATTTATTTGCTTGTCGGGGGGGGAAATGGCCACGGTGTCTCGGTGTGCTCTGCTTTGACTGCGGACAACGAACATGAAAAGTGAGCGGTGTTCATCTTTTCTGTGCATGCTCTTATAAATGCAGAATTTGTAAGATTTGAAATATAAGGCTATTCATTGTTAGAAAGTTTTTTCAAAAGCTAAATGCTATTAAATAGGTCATGTTTCAACATCATTGGAACAGATCCTGTGTGTCAAAATGACAGAAAATCTAATGCAACCCCTGGTCGCTCCGCTTTTGGGGGTGTTTACAAAAAAAAAAAAAAAAAAGCATGCAACTCTTTAGGCCATCACTATTCAGGCTATCACTTCTAATAAGAAAACGTATCAGAAAACCTCTGCTCACCACACAGGCTCACTCGCAGATTGTCAAATAACGCTGTATGCGCAGGACACTTGTTTTCAATGATGAGATGGAGTCCGTGTAAAGATGTGGTGAAATGAAGATGTCATGGTTCCATGAATAACTTCCAGTGGGCTCAGCTATCACAGATGTTTGGGATCTTTTGCAAAGATACAGAGAATTAGAAATGATTAAAACCATGCCAAAAATACTTGGCTGCATATTGCACCCTTTACAGAATCGATACGTTTAAGAAAGCAGTGGGCACAGCAGGACGAGAAACCCTTTTCTCTTTTCTTTTATACTTTTATAGCAAATGGATGGTGAGCACAGGGCAACTCAGTTTGTGGTGGCCTCTTCACAAGTGCAGATTATTGAAGATTTATTTCATCATTTACACAACTGACATAAAAAGTGTGGGCATGAGCTGGCTAAAAGATGAAAGTGAAACCCCTACCTACTGTTGTCTTTCCACTGCATCTCTGTGTTCTCTTGCCTCCTTTCTCTTTGCCAAAGTGTTGCTAACTTTATGCAGGACACACGACAGGGACAAAGCTTTGCAGAATGCTGCTTACCTTTCAAGCTGCTTTAAAAAATGTCTCTCACAACTTGCACATTTAAAGCTAAATACAAAATAAAACAGCCACATAATCGGCTTTGTAAAGTGTTTGAAGTAATTGTGGTCCTAGAACTTTAACTTGACCGTAACCAGCTCTACATGACTGAATTTCTCCTTCCACTGAGTGATTTCTCTGCTTCAAAACGTCCATTGCCCTGCAGCAGGTGCTCATCACAAGCTCTTCTGAACCATGACTCCTCTGTTGGTCTCTTTGATCAGAAACACTATCAGCGCTAAGTGTTGTTAACCTAAAAGATAGGTTTCCATTCTTTGTTTAGTCCAAAAAACCTCAGCAGTGTGAACGAGAAAACACATGGAGAAACTATGCCACCTACAGGTTAAACTAACAAAATAGACAATATTCAGTGCAGAGAGAGGCAGAAAACTCAGAGCTTCTTTGAAGTCATCCACCTAAATAATGTTCAAATATCACCAAATTAAAATACAATAGAATTAACCTCAGTTGTGTCAAATGTTTTATAGGTAAGTTGTAAATCTTAAAATGTATATAGAAATGATGCACATGGATTTGGTTTAATTTCAAGAAGTACTTTTTTTCCTCTACATATTTTTATTATTCAAATTTTTATTATTAATAATTAATTATTTTATTTTCTTGCTGTACAGGAAGAGGAGGGTGACGAAGTCATGGCTAGGTTTCCCCCTGGTGCTTATCCTCAGAACTACAACTCCCGCTATGCTGACTTCCCCTACAGTGCTCCTTTGATGGGGGACTCCCATGAGGAGAACCCCGAGAGCATCCTCGACGACCACGTCCAGCGGGTGATGAAGACCCCTGGGTGCCAGTCACCAGGCACAGGTCACTCTCCCAAGTCACGCTCACCAGACGGTTTCCCAGGAGGTCGTGGGATGGGACTGTGCTCGGGCCAGGCTAAACATCCATCCAGGCACGGCACCAAGGGAGAAAGCAGCCACCTGCACCATCACAAACATGGTCACCACATCCACCACGCAGGCGTCGGGAAGTCCAAAGAGCAGGTGGAGGCTGAGGCAGCCGGGCGTGTGCACGGCAGCTTTCCCTGCAACATGGATGCAATTCATTGGGGATCAAAGTCACGCAGCTATGCAGACGGCATGGGATCAAACACTACGGAGCAGATGGGGTATAGGTATGTACTAACAATGATTTTGTTATGGTCATCAATGCACCCTATGTGTTTGTTTATTGCATTTAATCTTGTAAATGTTTTTCTTCCATACAGTAGCAAAGGAGGCACACAGTGCAAAAGAGCGACGAAGAAAGGTGAGGAGGTGCGGCCATATGACATGCCTGCACCTGCAGAGGAAATGGAGAAAAACCAGAAGATCCTTCTGTGGCTGATGGAGGGACAGAAAGAAATGGTTCAACATAAGAGGAGCCCATTTGGGTCAGTGATTCTATTTAAAGTGCATGATAAGTGCAATGAACTCTTAAACCTTTCCAGTTGAAAAATAGGTTGTGCAGTGAAGCCCCCAAGTGTCACATTGTTGTGATCTTTCCTTTTCCCCTCTGTTCATGACCGCCACAAAAAGAGAAAAATACTACTGCATATCATTGCCTTATTTAGTTTGTATGTTTATACTCAAAAAGAACAACTGTCTGTTTTAGGAGTACCGCAGGGTCCAAGAGGACCACAGGACATGAGGGATCCCGTCTCAGCTCTGTGGAGCGATCGGGGTCTGTGCACCCTTGCAGTGGCACCCAACTACGAAACAACGTGCAGCCGTCTCACCCTTTCATCCAGGATCCCACGATGCCCCCCAACCCGGCTCCCAGCCCCCTCATCCAGCTGGAGGAGGTGCGCCGGCGGCTTGAGGAGGAGAAGATAAAGTCCGGAACCTTACAACCCAAGCAAAGGTAAGAAGAGGGGGATGTTTGTGTAGCCTGGTTTTATTTCCTGTTAATCAGTTAGTTTTTCTACAGAAACTTTTTTTTTTAACTTGAGCTGAATGAGAAGAGGGTGGATCAACCCTTTTTTTTTTCTGTACTCAAAATCACAGTTACCCTTTTGTCTGTAGCCTATTTGCTCCTTAGTGCAGGTTTTTGTCTAACTGCTGGGGTTGTTCGGTCCCTCAGGTATGTGATGGAGGTGATCCAGAGGGGTCGCACAGCAGTCAGGCCTCCACTGTTCCCTCCGCTCAGCATGGTGCCCGCCGTCTCTGACAGCGAGCTTTCCGAGCTTGAGTATGTTCACTGTTTCCTACTTTTTTTTTCTTCTTTTTTAATCGTCATTATTCCCAAAACACAGCAACCCACCTCATTTCCCATTCTTTCATTCCCATGTGAGTTTAGTTTCCCAAAAATGTGTGTGTTCAGATACTGAAAGAGAAATGTATTACGCAGTGATGAACGGTTTCTTTCCCTCCTTCCCTTCTTCTTGTGTTGCATCTGTTATGTCATATCATGTATCCAAGTCTATCCAAGAGTTTGTTTTAATTTGGTATTTTGTTTAGTTTTTGTAACATCCACATATCACACACATATTCTGCATATTTATTCAAGGAAAGTGGTGAAACTGTTTGCTGGAGACAGTGTGGAAAGACTGTTGCTGTTTTTTTTTTTTTTTTACATGTAGTGTGTGTCCTGTGTTTTTTCAGAAGTACTGAGGAGAAGCTTTTTGATATTTTTTCAGTTCCATGTTTCTGCTCGACTGCCCTCTCACATGGATACTTAACAGATGGAGGGGATTAGGGGAAGAGTGTAAAAGGCAGATGAAAGGCAGGTCATGTTACACTGCCAGAAGGTAGACCCTCGGGTCAGACCTGTGAGGACAGGAGATCATGACTTTGTGTGCCTGGATCTCGACTGACTGAAGCTTGAAAATTCCTAAAGGAAAAAAATAGAGATTAGAATGTGGCAAAAATCCAGATTTTTCCCCAAAAAAAAAAATAGTGATGGTTTTATGAGTTGTCATATATTTTCACTGAAATGAGAGACTGTACTCAGTCTTCTTGTTTAATCTACACAATAATACATCACCTAGGGCCAATGGGGGGGGTTGACTTTTCAATACTGTGACTGCTGTACAGTGTATAGACTGTATACACGCAATCCCCATGCACGTAATTAAACAGGTGCATTACTTTTTCTGCTTCCATAATGTTATTCTCCACTTAATTGTTGACATTGTGATTCCGACCTGCTACGTCTGCTACTTCCACGTTGTTCTTTTTACCTAAGGAGACCCCCCCCCCCCAACACACCCTCCTGTCTGACAGGGGATAGTCTCCCACTATGAGGTACATATGTGAACAGCCAGGTCAGGAAAATATCCGGAGAAGTCCTCCTGGAATTATCTAGATATTTTCAGGAGTGCATCTGTGAAAATGGCTTTAGTTATTTTGAGAGTGGATACTTGACCATCCCACAAAGTCATTTTCATTTGAGTGACGAAACAGACATGGTTCAAGTCAGTAGAAAAACTATCAGGAGTAGAAAACACTAAGGATAAAATGATCTCATTGTGCATTATGGCAAACCCAGAAGCTGCTATAGGTATTACCCCTTTTCTGGGGTTGGGAGATGTCTTTTAATAACAGCCCTCGCTGTGCAGACTTAAAACGTGTTCTGCTTTTTACATTAGCAGATAATAGATCATATAAATACATCCTTTTCAAACAGAACTTCTTGTTTTTCTCATTTTTGTTTTGCATCTGTAAGAGCTGTTATTAGAAAGCCTCGGTGCAGCTGTTGAATGATTTGACAAATTGAAAAAAGGAAGTGCTCCTTTCAGGACGCATCTTTAGCATTTACGTGAACAGCGGAACTAACTGCCACTGACAGACCAAGGGCTTTGTTCCCATGGTTTCATCAATTACAGTCCACTTTTCGGATGTAAGATTTGTGTAGCTCATATCACAGAAACACACAGATGTCTGTGTTGTTTTTAAAATGTAATTTCAGTGAACTGCAGACACACTCATCCTTTCCACAGTGAGCACATGAGCATGATTTGAATCTCATTCGTCTTAGAACATTTTGTCCTTACATGTAAAAAATAATAATAATATAACTTTGAAAAGTGTGGGAAGGGTTGAGGTTTTATAAGAAGTATGTCCTTTCTATTTGCAGGCATAAAACCACTAAAAAGCTCCAGTGTGAGAACATCACTGTGGCCTATTACTTCTGTGAGGAGCTGATACCGTACAGGACATCAGTCAAAGGGAGGGTCGTCACACTGGGCCAGTTCAAAGAACTGCTGACAAAGAAAGGAAATTACAGGTGAAATTGATGCTCCTTTTCATGTTTATTGAAATATATTCTTGAGTATGTTTCACAGATAAACCAACAGTTCCCCAAAAAGTTACAAGAGCTTTAATCAAAGGTTCCTTGTTAACCTGAAGACAATAACTTTGCTCCTCGTTCTTTTTCAGGTACTATTTCAAGAAGGTAAGCGATGAGTTTGACTGTGGGGTGGTGTTTGAAGAGATCCGGGAAGATGAAGCCATCTTGCCTATCTTTGAGGAGAAGATCATCGGGAAAGTGGAAAGAATTGATTAAAAAGTGAGCATGTCGAAGTGGAAGGAGTCAAAAAAAAAAAAAAAGTCAGTGAAAGGAAGAAGGCAGAGGAGCGATTTGCTGGTGAAGAGGAAGTGTATGAGGGTGGAAACTGAAGAAGGTGATACAGTAGGAAAGCGGAAATGAAGAGCAGAGCAGTGGTCACAGCACATGACTCGTGATCTCTGATGCTCGGTAGCACCGCTGCAGTGATTTTTGAACTAGAAGGGGGAGGGGGGGGGAAGACCTCATTCACTTCTGTGGAGCGTTATGTAGCATTGTAAAGTAAACTAGATGAATGAAGAATAAAAGTGCTACTAAAGCTACATATTTTTGATATGATGTATCAGAGGGTGTCCTCTCTAAGTAACACCACCGTTTTTTATGTATTGGTACCTGAAGTGTACAGTTTGTGCTTAAAGTGACACAATTTTATATCTATTTAAATATTTAAAAAGCAGATAACGAATGCTTTTGAAGCAGGACTGTCCCCCCTGTCCATGACGATCAGAATCCTTATAGGGCTGATTTTGTCTCTTTTTTTTTTTTTTTTTTAATCATTTGTCAGAGCCCTTTTAGACTCTAATGTTTGTGCTATTATTTATGTTTTTAAAAATTAACTTTCCACTACTTAATTTTGTGGCTAAAAGTCAGGCTGCACTGTCTTTGTATTTAATACCACTGACTGTGTCTCATAGTAGGATTCAACATGAAATATGTAGAGCGACAAACACAGCTGACCAGAACAAGTGAAACGCCTGTACAGCCGACGGCGGCCCGCTTCAACAGCTTCATGTCTTTTTTAGTAGAGCTTGAAAGGCAAACTTGACAGAGTTTTGGGTCATTTTGAGGTTTAAACTTTGCTGGAGTTGCTCAAAATCAACATCAAAGACGGTCTTTAAAATCAGCAACAAAAAAGAAAGTCAGTCTTTAAAAAAACGACTTTATTCTTTTTCTTCTCTTCAGGTCTGACACTTTCTCATCATTGATCAAACACATGGTTCACAAAGCTGTTCTTCACTTTAGGACTGGTGTAATGCTGTGCGTCGTACAGGTTGTTTCATTTTTCTGGTCATTTCTTGTGTATTGTATATAAATATAGCCAATGGCCATATTTATGTACAGTGGCCCTTCACTGTATTGGTTAATGACTCCAGTTTAAAGTTTAAAAAATGCCTTCTAATAACAAAGTGGAAGCATAAAAGTGTAAAAAGAAATCGTTTTAAATTGAAGGTGAATATCTATGCAAATTGGTCAACGATGATGTGATGAACTAATCAAAATCAACTTTGTGCATTTATATGGATTTACTCTCTAATGAGTAACTAAAAAGAGGCTGTGTGGGGAAAATCAGGCTATTAAGAGCCTGTTTGAGTAAATGTCAGTTGTGTTTTTCAGAAAACAGGGCTTCTCTAAATGTTTTACAATTTTGATAGTTAAGGTTAATTGAAAAATTAGTAATTTGTCCATTTTTGTAAAAGGTCGTTGCAAGTGAAATATGGAAAAAAACAACTATTTGGGTGCCATTTTGCCAATTTTTCTTTGAATTGTCTCCAGTCTGACACTAAATGACAAATGTTTTGAGTTCATTTTCTCCGGTTCATTTCTCCCTTGAGCATTAGAGGTTTGTCAGCTTCATGCTTGCAGTGCAGAGAGGCTCTTTATCAGAGGTCATATCACAGCACTTGAATGAGAAGGCCACCGAATGTCGTCTGAATACTACGTTAAGTCCATTATGCTTATGCTATGAATGTCACAGAGGCATTTTAAAACTTATTGTAAAGTGCTAGACCTAAAGAGGAGGTCTCAGTGTTCACATTATCCATGGGAGCTGGTGAGGGCTAACAGACACTGAAATGTCGCACTTATGCTTCCCTACATTGGTTTTTTTAGCTTGCTTGATTTCTGTAATCCACGATATCTTTGAAACCACTCTTTAGTTGATCAGTGAGTTAAGACTGCATACATTAAGCGTACCTGTCAACTGTAGCCTTCTCTAGCTTGTCACAGCTACATCGTGTGCCTGGCAGGAAATAATTGTTTAGTGCGACTTGAAATAGGTCACGTTACACCAAAGACAAAAAGTATATGTAAGGTCCTGGAGGCACGCTCTTAACTGACCCTGTCACATTGATGTCCCTCCTATTTGAGTGGCTGCTCTTTATTATCTGGTGGCTTTTCTTTGTTCAAAACACTGAAGCTTTGGAAAATGTTTTTATTTTATTTTCTTATTGCATTGAAGCAGTTTTCAGCTGATTAGTATTCCAGTCAGTCTGCCCTTTTAGGAAAATGTGAAGGACTCTTTAGCACTGGACAAACTGAAATGAAAAAAAAAAAATCACTGCACAGTCAGCAGAAGAAGCTACATGACATTAAGGTTCAAGGCCACTGGTTTTTTTTTCTCTCCCCCTGTACCTCCTCTTTGTACAGGTGTCTGTATTGAGGAACGTGCCACAAGAAAAGCCTTTTTTTGTTAAGGAACAAAAGGCAGTATGATAATCGAACCTTGAAACCAGAGTGCTCTATAGTATATGTCGTTGCATAGGAACCAAGTGTAAGGAATATCTCCTTGTTTTGAATGCTGTTTCTTGATGCTGCCTTATTTAGATTCCTAACTTAAATCAGTTTAATATATGAAGTATGTTGAGCTCCAGCGCGTATATTTATGTTAAATTATATTTTTTTAGTTCATTATCTAGTGAAATACTTTGAGTTATCGTTACTTTGTCAATTTCTTTTGAATTTAGAGTATCAAATCTGCTACGATTCCTACTGTGAAAGCCCCCAAAGTAAACGTTAACTTATTGAAATCAATGAAATGTATCAAATCAACATCAGAGTGCCTTTATCACAAAGCTAATGATGTCTGTTTCACTTTCAGACTATTATGGGGGAATAATTACCAGGGAATTTCTTCACTTATTTCATTTGTTTAGATTTTTTATTTTTATTTTATATATATAGATATATATATATATATATATCTATATATATATATAATTTGCAAAGTCCTTCTTGTTTTAAATGTTTGTCACTATTCCACCTTTTCTATGTAAATATGTACAAGTTCACATGTCATCAGCCAGCAGCACATTCAGTACCCTGGACCTGTTTCTGTTCTCTAACTAGCATGGTTACCGTTTTAAGGTACCCGGACAATAAATACATGCAATAAACCAGTCCTGGAGTTCAGTGTGCTTATTGACCGCACCTCCATTCATGAATTTAACTGAATCTGCGGCACACTTCACGCATGAGCCATTACAATATGGGGGAAGACGTTCCTTTGTTACCTCGTATTTATTTCAGTGTGCATCATCATGTAAAGGCTCCCTTGACAGGATTTACTCACTGTTGCCTGTAAACGGCACCAAGATAAGCAGAGCTGCAGTTTTAGGTCAAATACTGAGGAGGGCGCTGTAAGTTAACTGGTCATATTCTATAGCAGTTCATCTCCCAGAGATTCTTCTGCTGGGACAAACATTAATGAATTAAGGATGAACTAGTATGCTAGATTTCAAAATAAAGGGTTTGACTATCACAGGAATTTCTGCCAAACAACTTGCACATACCACTCACCTGAGAAGAATTTTAAAAAGAGCTATACAAACACTGCTCTTTCCTTTCTCTGACTATTAGCATATTCATTTTGAGTAGAGTAACTTAAATCAATATCCTGCAGAGAAAAGGCTCATCAGCATTTATGTTTCTTTACCCTGACAATTGACCAATCAATCAATCAGTCTTTATTTATATAGCACTAATTCATAACAAATGTTATCTCATGACACTTTACAAAAGAGCAGGTACATGACCGTACTTGTTATATCATCTACAAAGACCCAACATGAATCCATCATGAGCACAGCACTAAGCAACATTTAGCAAAGGTACGGTGGCAAGAAAAAACTGCCTTTTAACAGGCAGGAACCTCGAGCAAAAATAGTTATAAAAATTGTTAATAGTTGTAGTGCTTATATTCACTTTAATATTTATAATAATGATAATAGATGTAAGGCTGATATTATAGTGTAGTAGTGGAGTCAGGAGGGGGGGATCTACAGCAGCAGGCCGTCCCCTGATCCAGAGGACTCTCCAAGACAAGAGAGCAAGGAGGGAGAGAGAGGATCTCAATGTGACAGACTAAGCCTTTAGAGGCCTTACTATAAGAGCTGGTCCATACCTGAGCCAGCCCTAACTATAAGCTGCAAACTAATCAACACTTCATACTCCCGAGGGCGGGTTAAATCAGGAGGACGTTAAGAGCAATTAAAACTCCTCCGCTGCCATGTTGCGTTATTTAGCTGAATGGTAACATTAGCCAGCTCATGTTAGAAAACAAAAATTACCTCTTGTGGTGGTGTAAACAAGCCGATTATACAATGCCTCAGAGCACTTTGGAATTAAATGAACGAAACACAGATTGTATTTTCCATTAGATCAAATCTTCTCACTGCAGCATACTTCTGCCTGTGGATGTTATGACACTATGCTGTCTGCCATGTGTTAACGTTGCTGCTGACCTGCCGATAACGCCATTTAGTGCACATCCCTGTTTCTTTTAGTCAAAGGGGCCAAGTTTCAAAACTCCAATCCAATGAGTGTAGTGCTTGACTGAAAGGATTCCTTTAGGCTTGCAACAAAGGCACAGCTTTCATGCATTTCATCAGGGGCGGCTCCATTGATATTCACATCATGAAGCTTGTCATTTCCATCTACAGTTCATCTTCATAGAGGGGGTTATTCTTTGCATCGATTCCTCGTGTTCTTTCCGTCTTAGCCGATTATATTTTTTTCAATTTTTATTCTCTTATCTTTATCTTTTGATTTCATTTAATCTATATCACCAAATGTTATGTAGCCTATTCGAGCCTTTCTTTAACATTCACACAAAGAAGAATTATTTGCATTATGTTAATATTTAAATTCCATTAGAGAAAGCAATGTTTTTGAAACTGTAAATACCTAAAGCAAGTGATGAATTCTTGTTACCACTGATCCATTCCTCGCATGTCGAGCAGACGCTAATTAGAGCTGCATCTACAATGCTAACTAAGCAAGAGCTTTTGCATACTGATTTCAGGGCGGAATATCTAACAACCCCTGACCTTATAGCCCACTGCAGTTTGACTGTGCAGTGTGACGACCCTGTCACCAGGCCATTGGGAGGCTTGCTGCTTGTCTGTATGTGTGATTGCTGCTGGAGGTGAGTCCTTGATGGGAGGCTCGTATGCAGGATCAGCTGCACCTGTGCCTGGTGCATTCTCAAGATCTGCTGGTTTCACTCATTCACTCTCTCTCAGCCTGACCGATGCTTGTTGTTTCTTTAGTTATTTATGTTAGTGTACTCTTCAACACTTCACACCACATAATGCTTTCACATATACATCCCCACGTTCACCACAGATTAACACACCTCATAACTCTTGCTATTAATTAATTTAACTAGTTTTGGAATAAATTATTAGTTGTCTTTGATAAACTTCTGACTCCTCTTGTCTTTTGCCCTGACCCACGAGCGGGGTTATGAGAGCAGACAAACACACACACACACACACACACACACACACACACAGATGAAGGCTTCCAATTACACAAGGTATGATGCAAATCGAGTAAACTGGGGAATCAACTGAAAGTGAATAAGAATTAATCTTAAGACATTTTTTAAAGCATTCAAGAGATTTAGCAGTTCTAATAATAATCTATTCCAGAGTCTAGATGCGCTTACAGAAGAAGGCCCTGTCTCCAAACAGGTTTCATTGTGCATGTGGGGTGGTTAAAAGCTTCTGATCAGAGGATCTGAGGGGTCTGGCTGTACTGTATGGGGTTAAGGAGTTCTGTAATGTAGGTTGGAGCAAGTCTATGAAGGGCTTTACATGGAAAACAGAAGAGTTTTGCATGGAATTTGGTGACTGGTAGGACGCCAGTGCAGTACTGCGAGCATGGATGTACAATCTTCCTGTTTACTTTACCTTGATAACAGTCTGGCTGCAGCCATCTGGACAAGTTGTAATCGATATATGTCGACCTGGTTGATACCAGGCCTCCTAGGTCTTTGTGTGATATGAATATCCTGATTTTAGACATTATTCTGAGATAAAAGAATCTGAATTTGATAACTGTCCTGATTTGTTTGCCAAGTTTGATTTGCCAATATGATTTGAAGATTTTTTTGTGTAAGGATTTATGTTACTGGATAACTGATTGAGAAGCTTGGCGATGGTTATTGGTGGGTGGAACACTATAACCTCTATTTTTTTCAGATAGCTTTAAGACGTTTTTAGCCATCTACCCCTTGATATCATCCGTTCATGTGGCAAGAGCAGAGGATCAGGTTTGGTCAGTTGGTTGAATTGGGAAGTATAACTGGGTGTCATCAGCGTAACAGGGAAATTAGATGTTGTGGTTCAGTACTATTTTTCCTGTGTGAGGGACAGAAAGAAAACATCCTTTACACTTATACCTGTTTGTATAAAAGAATAAAAGGATTTCTGCAAGTTCCCTTTCCCCCACTACCATTACAAACTGGCCTCTCATAATGACATCTTCATTGTAACTGTCAACCTTGCAACTCTGATGTACTCATCATTTATGAGCCTGACACATCTTAAAAGTCATCCAACATCAAGGATCAGCCTAACATGTGTGCATACTGTATTCATGGCATTACACAACATGACACATTTTTGAACCTATTCCACCTTTGTTTTGGCTTTCTGTGCAAGACAGAAAACCAAAATAAAGGTAGCAGCTTGTTCAAATGTTTGAAATCTTCATGTCAATGCAGCATGTTTCTGTAATTGTTATTCAGTAAAGTGCAGCATGACTTCAAATGCGTCCAGTTCTGTTCCTATACCTCACCGAGAATCTGTCATCCCTGGGTAAACCAGCTCACAGGCATGTGAAGACAAAATGAAAAGAAGGTATTTCCTGATATGTGTTTTTCTAAAGCAGATATGAACCATTGTCCTGATTCTACAGACTTGTTATTTGTAAATGCCCCCAAATGCCATTCCAACCAACGCCTATCTGTGTGGGTATGTGTCACTTCTTTTGAAAAAAAAAATGTATTTGCTGTTTCTTTTCAGTAACATTTTGACAACAAGTCCTCTGAATACATTGACAAAATAAGATGCGTCCTTGACTTTTAAAACTAAACACAGAAGCATCTTCCTCGATCTATGTTTTCATGTGATTATGCACACTGTTGACTCATGGAAGGATAACCAAAGTCTCCTGTTTTAGTCAGATGAATTGTTGATCAACACCTCATGACTTGGTTAACCTTGAGGCTCTATACAATAATAATCTGACTTTTTCAAATGGTCTTGTCAAAATGTTTGCAGTCGCTGGAACTCAAAGACTCTTCTGATTGCAGTCCAACAAACTTGCAACAATATTATTACTCCATCCATCCCAATACCGCCTGTCCAGTAAGGGGTCGCTGTGCTGGAGCCAATCCCACTACATACATACCGTACATACACACACATAGATACAAAGATACAAACATAGATGAACAGTTGAAAGATTATGAACCGTCTTTACTTGCCATCATTATTGGTAAATGGTAAACGGACTTGAGCTTATATAGCCCTTCTATAGTCTTCTAACTACTCAGAGCACTTTGACACCGCAGGTCACACGTATTCAAACACTGAAGGCAGAGGTTGTTATCTAAAGTGTCCATCAGAAGTAACTAATCCTATTTATACACATTCACATGCTACCAACAAAGCAGTGGAAGCAAATTGGGGTTAAGTGTCTTGCCCAGGGACACACTGGACATGTAGCTGCAGGAACTGGGGATTGAACCCCTGACCCTCCGGTTGACAGACAACCGACTCTACCACTGAGCCACAACTGCCCCAATTATTGGTTTCATGCTCTCTGAAAAAAGCCTGAGAACACAAGGAAATATATTTTTAATCTTAATGTGCATGGAATAGCCATCAACATGTGTTTGTGTAGTTACAATGTGCAATGAATAAAACACTATGATGAGCTATGAAATGAGAATGCCTTTAAATTACTTTTAGAATACATTAATGGTTATTTCCTCTAAACTTAGATTGGGTAATAAAGGAGTAGCATACATAGCAATGGAAGATAAGACATAATTTCTCCCTCATTAATGCAGAATTGAATTGAATTGAAGCTTCACTGCAGTATCACAGAAGAAAATATTTTATTTAGTCATTGAAGTTTGTATGACATGATGTTTAAAAACCTTTTTGATAAATATATCTGGAAATATATTATGTAACTTGGAATTATACAGCTGTTTTGTTTGTGAAATCATCATAATGAAACGGAGCAGGGTCAGTTCCGTATATTATGGTCGTGACGCAAAGAGCAAATTATCACAAATACACAGGATGAAAATTGGTCAGTGTGAAGGAGGGGTGTTTTGTAAGGTAATGACTGTCTGAAGAGGAAAACTGCACACTCATAAACCAAACAACAACAAAGAGGCAATAACATGTGTCTTTTTTACAGTGTTGAGGTAGGACAGAAGCTCACATGACAACAGGGAAAGAGAGAGAGAAATACTAAGGATCTGCTTTCATTTGGAGAATTACACAAAATACACATTTTTTTAAATACTCATATTTTAAAATACACAACTCTTAAACGCTTAAGAGCACTCATTGATCAATAAAGTCATTTAAATATATATATCTGACACCAAAAGAGTAACATGCTATGAACACAATCTTTGAAAAATACAAGTAAAGCAACTTCTTTTATTCTAAGTCCAAAAACCTGTTTTTTTTTTTACATCAATCAATACCAAAAGTCTGCCCTTTAAACCCCTGATGCTGGCACTTCTTTAGTATTTCAATACAAAGTTAGAGATTTCAAATTCTCCTGAAATTGAAATGAAACGGAATACTGTTTTTAAGCACAATTCTCTTTGAGATTCTTGCATCATTAACACATGAAACTCAAATGTTATTCAAGCAATATCTTGAGACAGAACATAACCTGCATGCAAGATATAAATGAACAAAGCCAAAAAAAAAACTGTGTTCAAGTTCGAAAAATAATAAGCGAAAGGATGATGTACTTGCACTAACTAGTCAAACTGCTTTGTTCAGATTATAGTTAAGCTTACATGTGGAAAAGACAACAACAGTCACATGGTACAAACCTACAATGGAACATGGCGGCCGAAAAATACCGCAGACTTGTGATCCCTGTCGCAGGATGGGAGGCAACTTTGCAGAATGCTTTTCCTTCAGACTTTGTTTGAAGTCAAGTGGTGCACATAAACCCTCCCAGTCAGTAACCTTAAAACACCTCTTGGACTGCTTGAAAAGGTGAAACATGTTGTAAAAACTAGACGATACATTCTCTGCTGTTTTTAAAAAGTGCTGGAATTAGGACTGCTCTCATTGATTAAAAAAAAAAGAAAAAAGAAATACCACAGTGCAAGCCATGGTTAAGGCGGATGGTGGACACAAGAAAGTACTCTTTTCATAAATCCACACATTTCTGAATGACTGATTATCTCTTTGTAGAAAGTATCTGACAACAAAAAAAAGGTCTGGATAAATGATATAGCAGGATTTTTGGTTGTTGGCTAAATATACACCTTAATACTCCTTAACATCCTTTTATCTCTTCTGTTGTTTGCTACCAAAAGTGTGAATATCGTGATGACAAGTTTGCATGGTTTAACAAACACATCAGCTGCAATGTGTCTTTCACATAAGGCAATCTGCTGTTAGCCTGAATAACTTGTCACGTCTGCCGCTGAAAGGGCAAATTGAGAGTCACAGTGGGTTCTCTTGGCTCTGCAATGGGCCTGTTCATCATCTCACATTCATTCTGTCGTACATTCTCCTCGTTCATCTGCGACACCTCTGTGGAGCCCGCCTCGAAACCTGGCACAGTGTTGGCCACGTGAACCACGTGGACTTTATTTCGGCCTTTTTTACTCAGGATGCAGCTGAACACTTTCTTGAAGCCTTTGCGAAAGTGCTTGGACACCAGAGCGTAGACGATGGGGTTGACACAGGAGTTGGCGTAGGCCATGCAGTGGGACAGCAGCCTGAAAGCGTACGTGGTCTGATTGAAGGGGAAGTCCCCGTACAGGTAGCACAGGATCACCACGTGGTACGGTAGCCAGCAGATGCAGAAAAGCACGGTCACTATGATGATCATTTTGGTGACTTTGCGTTTGGCCCTCTTGGACTCCGACATGCCGTCCAGAGGGTCCACAGCCGTCCACAGGTACTTGATGGTTCGAGTGTACGAGAGGCTCACGATCAGCACGGGGATGACGTAGCCGACAAGGAAGGTGCACGTGTCGAGGACCTTCCGGTTCTGCTCCTCCCAGCCAGGGATGCACACAGTGCTGTTGGCGTAATCGATCAGATCGTAGTAGCTGAGATAAGGACCCGCAAAGATCAGAGAGAGACCCCAAATGACCACCATGGCGACCATCGCCTTACACGGTGTCCGTAGCTCTCTGGAGCGCAGCGGGTAACGGATAGCCAGATATCTATAGAGAGAAAGAAAATCATGAATTGACAAAACCACGGACAGGATGAAAAAGGAGGACATGCTGAGCCAGTGTGCTACATTATGAAAACATCCATGCTACCATTTTCATCATCAACGCAAAGAAAGCTGAAGAAGCGGCGCTGGTGGCGCAGTGGTTGGGGCGCGCGCCCCATGTGTGGACGCTCCAGTCCGCTGAGCGGGCGGCCCGGGTTCGGATTCGACCTGTGGCTCATTTCCCGCATGTCATTCCCTACTCTCTTGATCCCTGATTTCCGACAACACTGTTCACTGTCCACTGTTTTATCTCTCTTGTAAAGGCACAAAATGCACAAAAAAAAAAATCTTAAAAAAATAATAATTAAAAGAAAAAAGAAAGCTGCAGAATAAATACAAAACTGATCAACCTAGATCTGTATTCAAATAATGTGACAAGAGCTTAAAAAGTAAATTAGTTTGCATGACCATTAGCCAAAAGTTGCTAAGTTTAGTTCATTTCTTCTCAGTGTTTTGCCTCAAGTCTGATGGAGAAGTAAACAAACAACCCCCCAAAAACCGGGCTACTGTGTTTTATTTTCCTTGCATATTGTTAGACTTTAATTTTGGAGTGGAATTCAGAGAGTGAAGGATGAGAATCAATAATTCGATTGTATCAAAGGAGTCTGCCACCTCCACACTCTTTCACAACAAAAGCAACAAACACAATTCATGCTGTTTGTGGGATTAATCAAATAAAAGAAAACCACAGGCAAATGATCTTGCATGCTTCTCTGGGTAAATTAGTGACAAAAGCAGACAACACAGTGTTTTCTTGTGCTGCAGTGTTTCTCAGCAGGTCTTCAACAAAGACATTAAATCCCACCAAGCATTTGAAATAGAAATAGCCTGATGTTTCAATGGCCACCGTATTAATCTGACACCACACTGCTTTCCTCCTATTATTGCTGTCTGTACTTTACCTTTGTCACATGGTTTGTTTGTCTTTACTAATGTGAGGCTAAAATATATTGACATGTAGAAAAGCAGCCTTGAAGACAGCAGCTTTAAATGAGAGAATAAATCATTACAATTTCTGCAGCAATAACCCAGGATTAGATTACAAGGTTCACAATCCACTGACTCTGTTTAATGATTTTCCTTCCCCAAATGTCTTCAACGCTGTTAAATTACTAGTGGAAATTAAAACCCTGATAAGACGAGATAAAACCAAATTGTTTGTTTTTATTGTGCTGGTGTTCAATATGGCTTAACTGTTCTTTTATTTCCTGCTGAGGTTTCCTGGTCTAAAGTGTAACTATGAGCTGCTTTCACACAGGAACTAAAGAAAGACACAGCATCGAAATTCAGTAACCTCTTCACTCAGATGTAGCTGCTCTTTTCCTGACCCAGGAGGAAGCGTCTAGGTGGCAGGATGAGAAATCTATTGAATCCTCAGAGGTGTAAACACAGAGAGTGTGAGCAGAGGGCAGCTGCACACCGACTCAGTCTTTATTGACTGAGCTGACTGTGTTGTTACAACAACTATAATGACGGCTTAGAGCTTGTACTCTGTGGATATCATTTCCAGCCAGGGATGATACTTCCTTTTCTCATAAACTATTCAGTTATAGATTAAGTTTACGATAAGGTCTGATGGGTCTTTGGGTAATGTCATAATGTGTACCTACCTATGCGGAGCAGTAAATAAAGAACTCACAGCATGCACGGTCAAAGCTAAAGCATTTTTTTTTATCTGGTAATGAAACAGACTGAAATTAATTCTGATGCTTCATATGGCCCCAAAAAGCAAACAAGACCATTGATGACAATATTAATGATTTCTCAATAGTCATTTTTAATGCTTGTAACCACAGCTGACAGGTAGGTGTAGGTGTTTGATGATTTTTTTTTTTTAGCCTTGATACTCTGTTTTCTCATAAAATATGTTCAATCTTCTCAGAGATGTTAATATGATTCCCTTTAACAAACACCATCACTGCCAATATTTTTAAAACAAGATTACTAAATGTGATGTTTCACTGAAGCAAGAGTTGTTGATCGTGATGAATAAATCCATGATGTGTCATATTTTTCCTTTCTCACTTTTTTGTTCAATTTGTATTTTGGGGGGGTTTTTGCCTTTACTTGACAGGACAGTGGACAGAGGAGGAAACTGGGTAATGACATGAGGTAACCGCTTGGGGGACTATAACCTCTGTACATAGGACGTGGCCTTTTCTTCTCTCACTTGCCAACACATAAGCCGTATTCAAGTCGCATGGCAAACAAAGCTTGCACTCGACTAACATTTTCGTAACCCTGAAAGAGGTTTATCATAATAAATCCTTTGTAGTAAAAAAGTCACTTGCAAATATCCACATGTTTCTTCAGGACTTCAAATCTACATAAGACACACTTAAAATCAAGGAATTCAACGAAAAGAGTTTAAAATATAATAATAACAATACAATTTTTGTTATATGTTTTCATGAATTAAGTCTAAACTTATCACAAAAAACTCAGGGACTTGCCATTTTAACAACATTTAAGGTACAATAGACTCTGCATCCATTTCTGAATTTAGTTGTATGATGTAATGATTTAGTTGCAAATAATGGAAGTTAAATGTTACTTATTTCAACATGTAAGCTTTGCACTATGTCCTACATTTTTTTCTGCCTATACAGTAAACAGTAACTTGAATACTTGTGTCTCCCTTAATATGCTGACTCTTACTCTTACGTATTAAAGGTCCCATATTATGCTTTTTTTTTGGTTTTATATGCCCTTTGGTGTGTTTTCCAAGTGTCCTGTGCATGTTTAGGCATATCTATGTGCAAAAATTCAAAGTCTGCGGATATGTGGCTTCTCCTACGTCCTCCTGTTAGCTGTAGCATTAGCTGCATGTAACGCTCTGTGCTAGCCAACCTCGATAAAAATGTGTCAGTGTGGCGTCATTGTCAGTGTGAGATCATTGATCTAAGCCCATTGGCTCGTTGTGGCAAGCCCTGCAGCTCATGTTGAAATTTCCGAGACGAGTGCTGAGCAACTGACCAATAACGACAGAGCAGACGGCAGACCAATCAGAGCAGACTTGGCCCATGTGGGGTCTAACAGTGTGGGCTCAGCAGAGCGTAGCTGACGGACTCAGAGCGGAGAAGGAGCGAGGAGGAGCAGTACATGAAAACAGACACTTTTTTTGGACTTAAGCTATTGTGAACGTACAAAAGTAGGAACATAGATTAAATATACGAACCCCAAAAAGGGCATAATATGGGCTCTTTTAATTATTGAATTTAATTATTAAATTGCTCAATTCAATATGAACTCTTCAGATACTAATTAGGTCTTAAATGTATCCTTGTCTTAACTGCACCGCAGCAATGAAACCCTGAGATGTGTTCAAAGTTCTTAAAAAGACTGAAACAAGGTCATATTTCGATGTATTTGGATTTGACTGAGAATACAAAAACTGCCTTGATTAGACTCAGTCAAAGTTTTAGTGAAAAAAGCTTTACATTTGAAGGAATTAATTAGCAAAAGTTGAGCAATATCAACAAGATGATAAAAATGTTCCATTTCAGGGCATTGCACCATAGAGCTATTGGAGCAGCTTCAAAAGTGCATGAATTAATCATAAGAGGAAGTGATTTTAATAAGAGACTCTAAAGACCTTTAAGGAATTCATTTATCAGAGATGACTCATGACCACATCCTCTACCTTACTGATGGCAGATGATGAAAGCAGAGGATAGCAGATGAGATTAAAAAAAAAAAAAAAAAAGAAGGTGCACAATAACTACCGCTCAATCAAATGAGCTATCCACAAAATACTTAAAATAAACAAATACGATTATGAATTGAAACTGTACGTTATTTACCAGGAGACATTTTAAAACATGATCTGTTTCTATAGTTTCTCAGCTGGGAGTCTTTGCTGCTTCCTCTTGTCCTGTATAAACACGGTGAAGCAGCATTGAGTCACTACCATCCTGTGACAGGAACAGAGTGACATTAGAGATGAGATGTGCTCCAAACTGAAATATTTTCAAATCAAGGTTAAAAACATTTCTACATTAATGGTCCATTGAATGAGCCTTAAAGCTTAGACTTTATTATTTAACATTGGTGCTGTTAATATCTTTAAAAATATATATATTATGTAATCTAATTGCTTTTAATCGTTTTTCTATTGTTTCTTTAAAAACATATTCTCCTCTGGAAAGATTGTATGTACTCCGGGTTTATCTTGATTTAATATCTTAGCCTTGTATTGGTTTAACCATGTCTTGAAGTGCTTTGAGTTGCCTTCGTATATGAAATGTGTTATATAAAGTTGCCTCGCCTTGCTTTTTTTCTTTTTTTTATGTGTAAATGAAATGAAAGTTTTGAGGTTTTATCAAACAACAAAATGAAGGGAAACTAAAAACACAAACGCACAACCAGAAACTGTCAGCTGAAGATTTGAGAACTTGTGATTACATGATGATTTAATAGATTCAACTTTAAATCTGAAATTTGAAATAGTAGATTATTGGGTTGCTACTAGAAGAAACGGCCTCTTTCAACAGGAAATGTCGCCATTAATTGAAAAAGAAGACAATGCTAACAAGTGTCCCAGTATTCAGTTCAACATGGTATATGGGGGATGCAAATGGCATGGTAATGTCTGGAAATAATCAAACTTGTTAATAAAATGGAACACTTAGATTTGTCCTCTTTCTCTATGTGTTCAAGGTAATAGTGAACATACCGGTCAACAGAGACAGCAGCGAGCGTGAAGCTGCTGGCGTACATGGTCAGGTTGATGAAGAAGTGGACCACTTTGCACATGAAGGAGCCAAACACCCAGCCCTCCAGGGAGTAGATGGTGGCTTGGAAAGGGACGCAGAAGATGATGAAGAAGAAGTCGGCCATGCTCAGGTTGAGTATGAACAGGTTGGTGGTGTTGTATCCGACCTGGCCGCTCCGCAGAAGCACGGCCAGCACCAGGCTGTTACCGACCGTGCCGAGGAGGAAGATGAGGGAGAAGACCACCGACACGATCACACTGGTGGGGTTCAGCTGGTAGCTCTCAGACACATTGGCCTGCCCTGCTGGCTTGGTGAAGTCCTCGAAGTCAGACATTTTTACAAATCTGAAACATGGGGGAGAGAGATGGTGCATGAGGCAAGAGGAATTCAGTCACGATCCTAGAGCTTTTTAATATCTAGCCTCCAAAAAATATAAAAAAAATTAAAACCTGTGTGTAGTTTAATTCAATTATCTCTCAGAGGGGGTTTAATGAGACTGTGCAGCCTTTAAAAGCTTGACAAGTTTTCACATGAACCACAAGATTCCTTCATCCAATTAATCCCAAGTTGAGTCAAGTCACATAATAATAAGACAAGAATGAGAGGCTGATTTTAATTGGCTGATCACTTTTTGTCAGTTGCGTGGAGAGAATTTTCTCACTGTTGTGGTGCAGTGCAGTCGATCCACACTTTTAATGTACTTTTTCTGTCTTCTGAGTAGTATACTGACAGGGTCAAGATATGTGGAATAGTTATTATGCATGCACTTACACTGACGCCATTTGTTAGCCTCCAGGTAAGAGGGAAAGGCCACTTACATTGCAGGAGATTCACTTGATGATGCACTCCTCTCTAATCTGAGGAGCTGTGTCTTAAAGAGGGAGCTGTCTGAGTGCTGCCTTCTGTCTGTGTGCTGTCTTCTTGAAAAAAAACATGTCAGCCAATGATGGTGAGCAACGGTTATATGTTAGAGCAATTTCCCCAAATAACATCTCTGATTACGTCAGCATGACTGTTCTGTGTTGCTGGGTTTTTTTTGTGGTTGTTGTCAAATTGTTGTTCTGCTGAATGGGGAGAGAAGCAAAATTGGGGCTTGAAAATAAAGAGGTGCTCAACAGTGAAGAGACACACACACACACACACATAACAGCAGGATGGTTCAAAATATTCCATTTAATCCAATCAATCTGACAGAGAGTTCAATTCTGGATCATGTTGAGCAATTGTAGATTTAATGAGCAGCTGAGGTTAGAAACCCTGTGTGTGTTTGGTTTAGACATTGTTCAATGCATCAGTGTGAAGTTGTTTGGCATTGGTTCCTGTCTATGGGATTGAACCTCATCTAAAAGAGAGCATTGCATGATAAGAGCATGTAGTTCAGATGTTATTTCTCAGACATACGACTCACTGCTGGACTGGTTAGGATTGTGAGAGTAATGCAAGAAAAAGATCAAATCTTGAGGTTTGAAGAGCCTCTGACCATCTGAAAATGAAAATGCAAAACAGCATCCAGGAGATAGATGCTGGAAGCTGGAAGCAGATGGCATATAAGGTTCAAGTGTGTTTTAATCAGCTCTGCATGTGGAAAATGATGAGGACATTCTCATATTCATGACTCTTGTTACCAAAGGGAACCATGTCATACCAACGTCAACAACAACCGGTCTGAAAGAAGAAATGGATGGCACTTTTTTCAATCCTTTTTCATTTGACAAACAAGAATTAGAGTGAATGGCAGTTGTGAAAATGCCAAAAACACTGATTCTCTTCTTCTTCTGTTTTCCTCCTTGATAAAGCACCACAGATCTGTGTTGTGCTGGAAATTTCAAGACATGACAGTGACAGAAGAAGAAGCAGCGACAACCCACACAGTTGTTGACGCCATGCTATGCCGAGCTCAGCCACACTCTTTGGACTACAGAACAAGATGTGAAACTGATTCATCATGGTATCACCATGAGGCACCTATATTGTATCATGGATAAAGTTGTATCCTACCTAAATGAACAGACTCCGATTACTTTATGGAAAAAACATGCTTGATTAGTTCATGCCCAACATAAAGCGTGATTATCAATTAAACACGTGGAGCTGGAATGAAAAGGGAGCAACAAAAGCTGCAACAAAGCAACACATAGCTGGGCGAATACATTATATACAGACATGTTGACGATATCAATCACAGAGCTGTTGTAAAGCAATATCACAGGGAAGTACAATTCTGTAGATACAGACTAACCTAAAAATAACAAGTTATTTTTTTCATGCATTTTTGTTCCTCCTCCTAAAATCTCAGCTTCAAATGTCGTATTATACATTGTTCAACTCAAGTCTCAATCCTAGATGCCCCTCTATTTATCTGCATGATCAAAAATATGACCAAATGAAGAGGGTATACTGATCCAAGGCGATGTCTCATAAACGACACTCTGAAGTGCATAAAAAGGGAGAGTGATGTTGTTAACCTCATCAAGAGGCATGCTTACAGCATCTGCTGCAGAGGAATTCTCCCCAAGCAACCTTTTACATAGTGAGACGGATTCTCCTCTCTCCCCACTGGGGAAGTTAGGTTTCTGCCTGCAGTGGGATATCAGGTGGAAGACTCAATCCAGCGCAAGACATGAGCAAGAGTCTCAGGGGGATCAGAGAAAACAGCAGCAGACACACAAAAGGAGCTTTTTATTAAAGTGAGCGGGACCTGACATTTGACATTACTGACATTTGCTGAACGCAGACTTACAGATTCCAGGATGTAACTCAGTATTTTATGGGAAATGAAACAAAGAGTTGAGAGCCAGAGAAGAGAGGAGGAGGAGGGTGGTGGTGAGGATGCAAGATCTGTGGGAAAATACCTTATGGCTCATTTAGAGAGAGGTCAGCATAAAAAGAAATGATGAGCAGGCAGAGGGATGGCAACAGATTGCATCACTGCATTTTGCAGCAGAGCTAGAATAATAATAATAAAAAAACATGTTAAATCCCCCTCTGGAAGGTGCTTGATTAAGATTTCAAAAAAAAATCTTTAGACACCATCTGAGCAGATTTTTATTGATTTAATCAAATCATTACAGTTACTTTGTAGATTTTGTATTCTAAATCTGAAATGGGTTAAATTTCCCATGGGGCAATTCTATGCAAATCAGATGGCAGGATAAGCGAACAGATGCATCAAGAAACACCTACCAGGCAGAGGATTAATGGACAGAATCCGAAAGCTTCAGATTAAGAAGAAGAAAAATGCCAGCAGACCTCGTCTGTGAAGATGCTCATACTCCTCACGCTGACACCTCTATTCTCTCCCAGTGTACATCGCTATCTGCCCATGTTGCTGCTATCTTACTCTTTCTCCGCCTCCCCCTACCCCTACCCCTCCTCCTCACTCCTCTCCCAGGGAGGACTCCTCCTCCACATTCACTTTAATGTTCACACTTCACTGCAGAAAAGGATTGCGGAGCGAGAAAGGTATGGCGGGAGGCTACAGCGGACACAATCCATAGATTATCAGGAGGTTTCCCTGACAAACGGCCATTAAGCAACATTGATCCCATTCCTAATCAGCACACAGACCTAAATCAGCTGGCTCTCTCATCAAGCACTCAGCCTTGTACATTTGTCAGTCTGTAACATGGCTGATTATGTACTAGTAAGTGCAACCATTGTCTTAGAAGGGGAGGAGGGGGGTTAATTAATCTACTCACTCTAGGGGTGGACAGGGTAATGATAATAATAGAGTTTGTGTAGAAGCTTAAACATTGAGATTTTAATGCTTGGTTATTGCAATCAAAGCGTCATGTTTTCAAAGGAGGCATGTGATGTCACTGGGACTTCCAATATGATTGTTTGTCCAGCATCCTTTGTGTCTGGAAAGCGATCATTACATTTTTTATCATTTTTTATTTCCAACCATTTGTTTTTCTCATGTTCTTATTTCAGGGCCACCGAACTGACTTGGAGAAAGTCAATTAAGGAATCTAAAGTACAGTACGTATTTGTGAAAATGAAAGATGTCAGCAGTTCCAAACAGCTTGTTAAGGTGATGAGTCGTGGCCACATTTAAAGTGCATCTTAAGTCATGACAGATAAAACATCTTTAAGGTTAAAAAACGCCTCATGAAAAATGGTTCAGGGTTCTATTTTGTTCACAGCATTGGCAGGTTAAGATTACAAATAATGAGCGTTACCTCAAGATTTATGCACGACTCCCTCACTTGTAGCTTGATTTTATTAGCACATTTCAGTATTCTTTATTATTTCATCAGAGAAATCATAACGACCCGATATATACTAAACTAAAACCCAATTCCAGCTTTGAAAACACATTCCTGTCTACTACATATGTGGGGAAAAGGCAGTTCACATGGCAACAACTAGAACAAATTTGATCTAATGCAGTTTAATTAATCGTTTGAACAGAATGTACTGCCTTGGAGAAATATGGGTCAAGAGTAAAGTTTAAAAAAGGCTTCACCTAAAAGAGACTTCATACACCGAGTGACATTTTACTTTTTTCATCTCTAGTATTTTGTTGCATTCGGAGTGCTTTGTATCTTCTTTTGTGTCCTAATATTTGAAGAGTTCATTTGCAAAACTGATTATTTGTCATCAAGGAGTCAAATGAAAAGTATTAATAACTTTAGATTTTATTAATAACTAAATAAGCTCTCTAAACTGAAAGTCTGAGTCACTCTGATGCAATATAAAAATCCTTTATTATACTAGGGATGACTGTTGTGTCTACGCGTTTGGACTCAACTTAGTCAGGACATAATTGACAGAGACAAAACCGGGTCTTTAAATTTGACTTCTGTTCTCTGTTCTATGAAATGCACCTGATTCCTCTACACTTTTTGACCCACTCATTTTTTCTGCTTAGTATTAATGTTTTTATATGTGTCTCCTGACATATTTCATATTTGGCCTCATTTATTTACTCGCTGGATCACATGGATTCTTCATCATTGCTATCTCCAGCATAGTTGAGTGTGAGTCAAAGATGTTTCCACAAATGAAGAGTCCAGCGTGGCATGTTTTATTTTTTTTTTTCCTGCAATGTCTCCTTCAATCCTGAACCCTGCTTTAAGTAATGTTCAGGTGTGACCCTGTGACCAGCCTGACATGTTCCTGCCCGTTGCCCTTCCAAACACTAGGTCAGGCATGATGTCTCAGAAGCTGTCAGCTATCATTCATCAACTGACTGCATGAAGCTGGGTCAGGCCGACCAGTGTGGACTGAGAGGTACCGCTGAGCATCATTCTGAAATCAAGAAACCACCTGAGGAAAGAAAAACACAGTTTTTATATCAGTTGCTTCACATTACAATGAATTATTCTGCTTCTATTACTATGTAAGCCAACATTGTACCGACAAATATTTAACATATCTGATCCACTTTTGCAGACATACTTGGTCAAATCAATCTCACAATTAAATTGATTGATTGTATCTCTGCTCTTTATGTATTCATGAATTTTTATCTGTCAATTTACCCTGA